AATTAAATTGTGTTTATTTTAAACACTAGCACCTCTAAGTAGCCTGTTTTTCCTTGGGAGAGAGTTAAAAGGGGACTTCCCCTATTTGAGAATATAGGTCGCATTGTGTAGTAGGTAAAGTTTGAATGAACTTTGGAGTCAGACTTTAGTTGGAGTCTTTGTTCTCGTGTTACTTAGTTATGTGCCTTTGGGCAGTTACTTAGTTTCACAAAGACTCGGCTTACTCATTTGTAAAACTAGGATAATTAGAGCTATCTTTTAAGATTACTGTCAAGATTAAATGTATTGAGTGAAATGAGCTTTTGGGTCTGGAAGATAAAGACAACTGTCTAAATCTAAATCTCTGCATTCATCTTCCTAAAAAGCTGGAAGAAGACATAAAAGAACCAAACACACGCACATACCATATTTGCAGTGTATAATTCGCTCCAGTGTATGATGCGCACCCATGTTTTTGGCCCAAACTTTCAGGGGGAAAATCTTTTGTTTTACTTTTTAAATTCATTCATTCATTCATTCATTCATTTATTTATTTATAGCTAGATACTTGTTTTTTTGTATTGTAAAGGAATTTTAGCATTTATTTTTTAACATATTGTGGTACAAGAAATTTTATGTAACAAATAATTATAAAACACAAGAACAGATACAAGATATTTCAGGTACTACCCATGTATAATGCACTCCCTTATTTTTCCCTAAAAAATTTGGGCAAATAATGTGCATTATACATGGCAAAATATGGTACACAAATCATACATCACTCACACTTTCAGCATTACTACAGGATAGACAATACCATGAATTTGTGAAGAAATAGGAAATTACAACAGCTCCTGTTGCTGCTACAAATCCCTGAGTCTGGAGAATAGGACAAAGAACGGCTTAATTAAGAGACGGTGAAAAACAGGCAGACAGTGACTGTTGTAGACGATCGGCGGGTAAATACACACTCTCAGAGTCCGGAACCGAATTGATAAAAATTTTAATGGCCAAAGAGTTTTCCTGCGCAGGGGCAAACTTCCCCAACTGTGACCGGAGTCACGTAGCTACTCAGAGCTACAAAATGGAAGCTGCACCTGGCTTACAGACTACTGGGTATTTATATTTTCTAGCAAGCAAGCAAAGGCATACAGAAGCAAAGGTGGTGGTTAGCTATTGGCTTATTTAAAAACGGCGAGGGTCCCTGATTGGTGGGTGCTGCTGCTGGCGGGCACTTTCTGGCAGGCCGGGTTAGTTACCTTATTTGGCTAGAATTTTAAACCCAATTGTTCCCAGATGTTTGTTCATTACCCTGTTCCAGGAACTGCAGATTTAGGGTTGGGTAATGCCCTAGCTGTAATTTTCCTAGCTGGGTATAACATGACCAGAGGGGAGAGGGGAGAGGATTTCAGGGGAAAAGGGGAAGGGTTCACAGGAACAAGCATAAAGGACACATGGACAAAAACTAAGGCAGGGGTGGGGAATGGGAGGGAGGTGGGGAGCACTGGTGGGGGTGGGCTGGGATGGGAGTAAAAGACAGAAAACTGTACTTGAACAATAATTAAACAAATTTAAAAAATAAAATAAAGGATTGCAAAATAATTTTTTAAAAAAGAGAGAGACAGTGAAAAAGAGGAGAGGAGATCAGTGGTTAAAATACAACGCAAACAAAATTACCCCTGAAAGAAAACTTCCCCTACACAGTTGGCAAAATGTGAACACAGGCTTGGGACTTAGTGATTCATAGCACCAGCTGGAGGGAAGGGGTGTGAAAGTGAGAGGGGCCACAAGTAGCAACATCAGAGAAACACCCCCTGGGAGAGAAGGTAGAGAGATAGGGGCGCTGTGGCAGTGAGAGAAGAGAAGGAAGGAGAAAATTTAGGGTCTTAGGGAAATGAAAGAAAAACAAGGCGCACAAGTTCCAAACCCAGCCACCCATTACCACCACATCATTAAAACTGCTGCTCCTACTAATCAGCAGAAGCTTTTTTTTTTTTTTAGGTTTTATTTTATTTATTTCTAGAGAGAGGAGAAGGGAGGGAGAAAGAGAGGGAGAGAAACGTCAATGTGTTGTTACCTCCTGTGCCCCTCCTATTGGGGACCTGGCCCAAAGCACAGGCATGTACACTGACTGGGAATCAAATCAGTGACCCTTGGTTCACTGGTCAGCACTCAGTCCACTGAGCCATACCAGCCAGGGCATGAAGCACTCTCAAACTAAGAACTCTATCCATAAAATGATAAGGAATAGAAATAAGTCCAATGCCATACAAAGCTACTTTAAGAGGAATACAGAAAATATGTGTAAGTGGACCCTTTTAATGAAAACTCATGTTGTTTGAGGATCAACTGTATGCAAGGAGAAGTAGAAACACATAATAGATTTTGAATACATTACAATACTAGTCTGGTACAACAAGACTTTTCAGGACCATCTAGTTACTTTCCTATCCCAAACTTGAAATTAGCCATTTTTTAGGGATGTGTGTGTGTGTGTGTGTGTGTATGTGTTTGGTGGAAAATGATATTTAGCAATAGCAATCTTTATGTCAGGAGTACTCACTTATACTAGGTTGGTCTTTGTTTCTAGAACTTATCAGTGGAAAAGCTTAGGCCATTTTTTAAAGAGAAAATATATCATTAGTTCATGGTGAAATTTCTAATTAAAATTTAAAATTACACAGTTTCCATTTCTCTGACTTTTATATTTGTATCTGTTTTTTTCTTATGCTACAAATCTTGGTTCCAAATAATATTAACAAAATCAATATAGTTAACCTACATTTTGAAATAATACCAATATTATAAATTATTAATAATTATAATGGGACTTCCGCCAAGATGGAGGCGTAGGTGGAAGCACTGTGCCTTCTCGCACAACCAAGTTTAAAAACAATAAAGTTTTAGCAACAAAAATGCAGCCAAACCACAGAAAAATTGAACTATACAGAAGTCTGACAACAACGAACCCTTCAGCCAAACTGGTAAGAGGGGCAGAGCCAGCAGCAGAGTGGGGTCAGGCAGGAAAGACCCACCAGACAGACCCCGGCGAGAACCAGGTGCACCAGCAGCTGTGGGTGGATCCCAGGTGTGGAGTAGCGGGCGGACGCACTGAGGACACAAGACAGTGGACCCACTGAGGGCTGACTATGGTCACACATTCTCTCGCAGATAAACCAGTGAAGGAGCTAGCAGTGAGAAGGAACACACAGGCCCCTGTGGCGAGAAGCAGCAGAGGGGACCGCTATTGTCCCTCTCTGACCCCGCCCCCACATACAGCATCACAAACCAGCAACTGTGTTGCCCCACCCTGGTGAATACCTAAGGCAAGAGGCACGAACAGATCAAAACATGGCTCAAGAACAACTCAGAGCCCCAGAGCCAATAAATCTAAGCAATGAAGAAATAGCCAAACTTTCAGATGCACAGTTCAAAACACTGGTGATCAGGATGCTCACAGAACTGGTTGATTATAGTCACAAATTAGAGGAACATCTGAAGGCTAAACTAATTGAAATGAAGGGAAATGCACAGGAAAGCAATAGTGAGGGAAAGGAAACTGGGACTCAGATCAAAGGAGTGGACCAGAAGGAGGAAAAGAATGACCAAACAGAAAAGGATGAAGAAATAAGAATTCAAAAAAAGGAGGAGAGGCTTAGGAACCTCCAGGACATCTTTAAATGTTCCAACATTCGAGTTATAGTTACAGACTCCAACTAAAGTCTGACTCCAAAGTTAATTCAAACTTTACCTACTACGCAATGCGACCTATATTCTCAAATAGGGGAAGTCCCCTTTTAACTCTCTCCCAAGGAAAAACAGGCTACTTAGAGGTGCTAGTGTTTAAAATAAACACAATTTAACAAACACAACAAAAGCAAACTAAGAGGACAGCTAGATCAGGAGCAGAACCATAGAAATGAAGATCACATGGAGGGTTAGCAACAGGGGAATGGGAGAAGGAGAAGGGGGGAGAAGGTACAGAAAATAAGTAGCATAGACGGTAGGTAGAAAATAGGGGGGAGGGCAAGAATAGTAGGGGAAATATAGAATCTGAAGAACTTGAGACACATGGTCATAAACTAAGGGGGTGGGGGAGAGGTATGCAGGGTGGAGGGGAATGAAGGGGGGAAATAGAACAACTGTAATGGCATAATCAATAAAATATATTTTAAAAAATAATAATTATTATAATGGTGCAGGTACTGTAAAAGGTTTAAGATATTTGCATTTTTTGTCCATGCCATATAGCCTAATATATATGTACAAATTACTGTTTTAAATAAATTATTTGAAGCAACTTTTGTTAATGTGGTTAAATCATCAACTTGCTACATAAGTTCCTTTGTTTTATTTTGCTTTTCATTTTTAAGGATTTGTTACTTCCATTTTATTTTTGCTTTCTTAAAAATTTTGAAGGATTCAAGATAGCTTAGCTGATAATTGTTTATTTAAATAAATAGTAACTAAAAGTCTTAGGCTTATAGAACAGTGTTTAATCAAAGAATCATTTAGTTATTCAAGAAAGTTTTTTTCAGTGTTTTCTAAAAGTTGAGGTATTAACTATAATTAAAAGTTTCTGTTATTCTGTTAACTGGGAGCCTATAACCAACCTCCAAGGTAGCCCTAAAAAATACAACACCCAACTATCACACACATTATTACTAAACTACTCTGGGAGTTCCATACCAATATTTTCTAACACTTTGAAAAGCAATCTTGCATGAAACTTGTCTTAACTCCTTAGCCTACTAATTGTGGTTACTCAGGACCTCAGTTATGTAGGTAACTACTCATCTACCTTTCTAATACCAAAGTAACTTTTATTTGTAATATTTAATACAAGCAAAATTATATGCTGAAAAAAATTATATCCTATGGCTTTAGACCTGAAATTTAAAACTTCAGTCATGAAAGTTTGCTTTTGCCACAGCAGTAGCAAAACATGAAATTGTAATTACTATGTCTTTTTACATGAAGTTGGATCCTAAAATATATTCTATGATTTCTCTTTTTAGAATCTGATAAAATACCAGTAATGCGTGGACAATGGTTTATTGATGGTACTTGGCAGCCTCTAGAAGAAGAAGAAAGTAATTTAATTGAGCAAGAACATCTCAACTGTTTTAGAGGTCAGCAGATGCAAGAAAGTTTTGATATCGAAATGTCAAAATCCATAGAAGGAAAAGACGGTAAGACTAATGAATACGTTTAACATGTTATATAAGCCAAATAAGTTGTTGATAAAGTTTAGAATTGTTTCTAAGTTTGACATAGTAATTTTAGGAATGTTAGAATTTATAAAACTCATTATTTTAAACATTTGATAATTATTATAAAACTTAAAATATCTATGAATTTCTGAACTATCTCAATTTTTATTTTACTTAATCTGTACATTTAATGGAATAAACTTGATTTATTATAAATGACAAATTGTTAATATGCTCTCTGAATTTATTCTTTTCAATAGTTTTTAGTTATTAAAGAAAAATTGTAATTATATCAAAGAGCAGTTTTGTTAATATTCTAAGGTTGGTTCTTTTCCTACGGTTTAAGAAAAACTTTAATTTCTTTTGTGTAAGTATTACTTAGATATCTCCATATATATAACCATATCAACTTTTAATTTTAAACAATTTATATGTCCTTATTTAGCATTTGAATGTGTTTGCAGTAGTTTAAAATATTTATATAATAGCCAAAATTACTGTGTTCTGTTATGTCTGATCTTGAGTAAAGTTCTAAACGTGTGGTAAAGTTAAAAATACTTCTGTTGTTCCATTTACTGCAGGCAGTGGAATCAACTATTCTGGTGAGTATAACAGTACAGGTGAATTAGAATTTGTAAATTTCTCTAATTTTTTAAAGCATTTCTTCATTCATGCTTACCTTTATTTGGGAGGTTTCTTGGCAAACCCTACTAAATCTAGTGAATTAAATGATTTTTTTTCTTCCCCTCTTAAATATCTTCAAAGCAGAAAAACCTAATATCAGTAAAGTAATTCACAGAATGCAGCTTGGAAGACATGAATTTTGTGGTTGGAAGTAATTGTTTATATAACATAGTTAATGGCAAAACAGTAAGGTTTAAGTCGGCTTATTCTTTTCCTATTGTTAGCAGCATTCCAAGTCTTTTCTCGCTCTTCCACTTTATCTCCCTGAACACACACACACACACACACACACAGAGGCAATGGAACTGTACAGTTTAGCTTGTACCAATTTAATGTCTTTTGTATCTGGTTAATTTAAAATGTACATAATTGAGGAAACTTGTGGCTTCTGAATAAATTGGCTATTAAATCTGCTGATTGTGTATAATAATAGTCTGTTATGTGCTTGATACTATACTCTAAGAACTTTAAATAATCTCATTTTCCTGATCTACAGAATTGAATATATACTTATTTCAGTATAAAATCCAAGGTCAAGGTTTTTACATATCAGCATATAAAGAACAGTTCAGTTTCTACAGAGCAGAGAGCTGTATCTGTTTCTGCAGATTATGGTAGAGACAATAACTGACAACATTTATCAGTTATAGCACAAATAGTAAATTTTATATATCTGTGATCTTTTATTAATGACTGAAATATATGGTAGCCTGTCATCATCACTACCAAAATAAGCACAAAAGTCTACTTACTGTATGGTATTTGAAGGATTGACCTTTTTATCTTCATTTCATTGCTATTGGGGGGTGAGTGAATTCTGGATATTTTCCTTTCTATTAATTCACCTTAGGTCTTGCCTCAAAAATGGCAATTCACCTTAACAAATCCAGTTTACCCATCCAAATTCTTTACTGTTGATTCATGAACAATAAAACCCAAGAGCTTAGCCCTGGCTGGTGTAGCTCAGTGGATTGAGCACGGGGGCCTGCGAACCAGACAATCGTGGTTCGATTCCCAGTCAGGGCACATTCCTGGGTTGCAGGCCAGTTCCCTGCAGGCCAATTCCCAGCAGGGGACGCCCGAAAAGCAACCATACATTGATGTTTCTCTCCCTCTCTCCTTCCCTTTCCCTCTAAAAGATAAATAAATAAAATCTTAAAAAAAAAAAAAAACCCAAGAGCTTGAAGAAGAAAAAAGGATGAGTATGAATAATAAAAACATAAGTAGATTGTTTCCTTTTCTCAGTCTGTGTTCAAATGTTTCTTTTTCCCCACCTGCTAATTTATCCTCTGGAAGTAGTTCATTTTCAGCTCTGTTCCATCTCTAGATTCCATCTACTCAGAATCTTGTTTATGTTACAGTAAAATTTAGAATTTTACATGTCCTCTTTACGTCTCCCTATTAACGTGTTAAATGTAGCACAATACTTCAGTATTCCTCAAACTGCCCTAATTTCATGAGCCAATCATTTAAATAAGCTTATAAAGAACATGGCTTATTTTGTGTGAGTTGTGAGTCAATTTTCATTATGCCTTTGAGTGTATAGGTCAATTCTAGAGTATCAGTCTAGGATATTATAATATTCTTTGCTAGCTTTAAGGATACAGAGAGTGGTAAAATTCTAGTTAGTTAGTAATAACAAGAAATTGTTAAACTGTTAAAACACTTTTGCACTGTACTATTTCAAAATGATGATTCTTTGAAGTTCATAAAAAAAAAATGTAGCCCTGGCTGTGTGGCCCTTGTTTAGAATGCTGCTCGCTAGGCTGAGGTTGCTGGTTCTGTCTCCCGTCGGGGCACATACAAGAAGCAACCAATGAGTGCGTAAACAAATAGAAAAACAAACTGATGTTTCTCCCTTCCTCTCTCTCTCTCCCCTCTCCTCTCTCCCCCTCCCTCTCTCTTTCTCTAAAATCAAAAAAGTAAAAAAAAAAAAGGAATTTATTTATTTATTTTTAAAGTAAAAAAAAAGGAATCTTATTTATTTATTTTTAGAGAGGGGAGGAGAGGGAGAAAGAGAGAGAGAGAAACATCAGTGTGTGGTTGCCTCTCACATGTTCCCTACTGGGGATCTGACCTACAACCCAGGCATGTGCCCTGGACTGGAAATCGAACCAGCGGCCCTTTGGCTTGCAGGCCAGCACTCAATCCACTGAGCCACACCAGCCAGGTCAGAAAATGTTATTTTTTAAAATATACTCTGGCATATAGGTAAAATATCAGCATGTTATATTATTAGCAAAGATTATAAGTTCAATTCAGTATACATACACACTGTTGTCATAAATTTCCAATTTATTTGTTATTCAATACTATATAAAACATGAATTTATGTGTTAAGATGTGACATTTACTTTCAAAATCATGGGAAATTTGGTAGTGCATTTGAAAATTATAACTCGTCTTAAGGAAAAAATATTTGCTGTCTAAAAGCCACCATTGTTAGAAAAATAATTCAAATTTACCATAACTACAAAGATAAAAAATTATAATCTATTATTTTGTTTCTTATCTTCAAGCTTCTCAAATTGTGTGTTTCATTAATTTCAGGCTGGGGGAGGGGGCCTTTTCCACCTCAATGTTCCCCTGTATAAATGATAAAGCCTGGACTCTTCATATTACCAGGAGATTTTTGACTGCTTTCATGTGCAGATAATACTGTGTACAGGCACTTTTATGAAAGAAATAGACAGGGTTTTTACCCTCAAGGAGTTTTAAGCCTCCTGGGGAAGACAGAGGCTACAGATAAGAACAGTTACAAAGAGTAAGTTCAAGACAACACAGCAGATAGTGAATATTATACATTCTGAAAAGAAATTTGGAATATAGAGAGTTTGTGATTACGGTGCAGTAGGTGATTCAGGTGAGGCTTTCTGGGAAAATCCCATTTAATAATTGAAAACATTTTAAAATATATTATTTAGGAACTCTTATTAAGTGCTGTGGGGAATTTCTAAAAAACTAAATGTTCTTGCCTTGAAAGGCGTTAAAGTACTAATTCCTTTTCTTTCTGATCTTATCTGTATTTTGGTTAGGGTAACTATTGCCACAAGTATATTGGGTATGTTTAATATTTTCTTCTTAATTAATTTGCCTACTAATCTCCAAGTAAACATTGTATTAAGTAGATTGATAAAGTGTAGCATAACTTTTTTAGCCCACAAATAGAAATTTGCAATTTAGATACTTTAAATTTCATTTTTTCTGAGAGTTAAAATAAAATGGATCATCTTTTCACCCTGCCTCCTAGGCTAGGAGATATTTATCTGACAGCTAAACAAATCATACAAATAAAAATCAGGCCTTCAAATACATAATGCTGTAAATACTTGAACTTAGTAACTAAATCAGTGTTTTACTCATTTTACACTTTATAAAGAGTAGGAATTAGCAAAAAAATATTTGAGCTAAAAGGTTTAGTCTGCACCTCACTCTGGCCAAAAAATATATAACTTCAGTTTATTTGTGAGAAAACAGATGAATTCAAATTGAGGGACATTCTGCAAAATAACTTGACTAGTACTCTTCAGAAGTGTTAAGGTCATAATTAACTAGATGGAGGGAACCCTTTCACAATGTATACATACCATCACCACAGTGTATGCTTTGAATGTTTTGTCAATTATACCCTAAAAAAACTGAAATATTTTTTTAAAGTGTCAAAGTCATGAAAGACAAGAAAAGATTAAGGAATTTGTCACAGTTTAGAGGAGACTGGAAATGTGACAACAAAATGCACCATGGTGCCCTGGGTTGAATCCTAGAACAAAAAAAGAACATTAATAAAACTGGAGCAATCTGAATAAACTCTATATTTTAGTTGATAGTATTGTACTAATGTTAATTTCTTAGTTTTCATAATTGTACTGTAGGCATGCTAACATTAGGGGAAGCTGGATGAAGGCTATAATAACTCTCTGTACTATTTTTGCAACCTAAGTCTAAAATTATTTCATAATAAAAAGCTTTAAAAAACTGTAGAGGAATTAAAATAAAATAGTAAAAAATATTTAGCCCTGGCCTGTGTGCTCAGTTGGTTGGAACATTGTCCCATAACTGAAGGGTTGCAGGTTCAGTTCCTGGCCAGGGCTCATACCTAGGTTGTGATTTGATCCCCAGTCCAGGTGCTTACAATCCTGGGTCTGGGTACATATGGGAGGCAGCCAGTCAGTGTTTCTCTCTCTCTCCCTTCCTCTCTCTGTAAAAGCAGTGGAAAAAAAATGTCCTTGAGTGAGGATTAAAACGTATATATATTTATTTAATTAACCCTCCCCCCCAAAAAAATCATAGGAAAGGAGAAACAAAAAAACAAAGTGTAGATGGGACAAAAAATAAATGGGAAATGGTAGACCAAAATTTATCCATATCAATAACTATAACAAATACGTATAAGTGAACTAACAATCCAACTAAAAGGAAGACATTGACAAGATGTGTTAGAACTGCAGGACTTGACTATATGTGATCTGCTGGAGCTACACTATGGATATGTCACAAATACATAGAAATGTAAAAAATGGACTTTTTACTGTTGAAGCGAATTTGGGGTGTAATGACAGACAGTACAGGTGTTGATAGATCTGTAAGAATTTACAGTATTTAACAACTTGGCATATAAAGTGTGTATATTCCTAACACTTGCTGGACAATGATATCCCAAAACATCAGTGTAGAATTTCAGAAGTCAAGAAGACTGGGGGCAGGAGGGGAGGTGGAGTGGGTGGGAGGGGATGGTTAGAGAATTCCCACTGTGTAGTTCCTAGTTATTTAATTTTTCTAAATTTATCTAAATTTCTCTGGAATCCAAGAAAATCGTTAGGACTTTTCTCATTACAGTTGGTAGGTCTGAGATATGCAGGCCTAATTCCCCTGAAGGAGAGGTTTTCCAGGTTGCCAGTTTTTGTAAAGGGAGAAGTTACCGAGTTGTTCCATTCTAGGTATTAGTGTGTCATCAACAATCCCCTTCTTTGATATTCTGGTGCTTTCAGAATTACATATTGAAGAAAGTTTCTTTAAGAGTTTAATTATATAAAGAAATTTATTTGAAATACTGTATCTTATACTTGAAATCTTTCATTCCTGTATAGGACTTTAATGTATAAAAGAAAATTTTTATTAAATATCAGCATCTAAAACGCACTTTCAGTTGTATTTTGAGTTTATGTATACTTTTGCTAACGTGACATAATTCCTAACTGAAACTTTATTTTAGAAAAAGATAAAAAGTAATGCTTTCTGGCATTTGAATTTCCTTTAACAGTGATCCTTGTTTGGATTGACAGTAAACCCTTTTTTTCTCTTCTGTACTTTTGCATGCTTTGGGTTGAAAAAAAATTAAGCTCTTTATGCTAACAGGATGTTGTAGCAAATAGGGCAAATGACTTTCAGGTGAAAATAAGAATTAAATTTGAGAACAAGGTAAATAACTATGTCTGACTTTGTAAAAATGTTTTAAATAAATATGCTTCTGTTTTTAGTACATTGCGTGTTTGCCCTTTCCTAATTTCTAATTTATACTATTTCTTTAGAAAGGAAAGCCTTCCATTTTTGTATCATGACTAGTTTTCTGAAAGTATTTGCATAATTTTATTTTGTTTTATTGTTTACACTGTTACAGTAGTCCCAGTTTTTCCCCCTTCACCCCTCTACCCTGCCCCCCTCTTCCATAGTCAGTCCCCACACTGTTGTCCATTTCCATGGATCCTTCATATGTATTCTTGCATTTGCATAATTTTACAGTGTGGTCAAAGGGTCCATATATTTCCCATTAATTTTCTTCTTTTTTTTTAAAGATTTTATTTATTTTATTTTTAGAGAGGGAAAGGGGAGAACAAGAGAGAAAGAGAAACATCCGTGTGTGCTTGCCTCTTGTGTGCCCCCTACTGAGGACTTGGCCCACAACCCAGGCATCTGTCCTGACTGAAAATCAAACTGGTGACCCTTCAGTTCACAGGCAGGCGCTCAATCCACTGAGCCACACCAGCCAGGGCTCCCATTAATTTTCTTTTAGTAGATACAGAATTGATTTGTGTTAGTTTTACTAGTAGATTTAGAAAATTTAGGTTTTGTTTCTTTGACTGATAAAGTCTCAAATCTATGCCAGTTTGATCTACTTGGATATGTTAGCTTGTTCCCAATTAATTTTTTTTGTTTAAATGTTTTGTACAAGTGGTACATTTATTCCTCAGTAACTAACCATAAGGCACATGTACAAACAAACATTTTCAGTGAAGAAAATTAAGGTGTCATTTTCTACCCTTCTGTGACAATTTAATGTTTTTATAATCCTGATATTAACTACCCAGTTCTTAATCCTTGTCTAATTTTTTATAGCCATCTAATTACACATAATTATATGTAGTTTAGCATCTCGTAAGCATTTCTTAATTACATTTATTGCATAAATCTTTAAATGTAGTTCATTTGTATATATGCAAATGATTTTTAAGAATATTTCTACTACTATATGAAGGGGGACCCATCCAAAAAAAGGAATTACCTTCTGGAGGGCAGGCCCTTTTAGTACATGCTTCCCCCGCTAGGTGAGTGTTCTAGGAACCCATCTGTATCAGTGCACCAGTAGATGTGGTTGTGAGAGGCTGTTTTTGGCTTCAGTGAATTTTTTTTGAAGACTCTCTAAACACGTTTGCCCATTTTATGATGGGTGATTTACAGCTTATCTACCCACACCACACTGAGCGTTCAGCAGTTTTTAACCAAAACTGGCATGAGCCCTGTGATCCACCATCCCTACTCACCTGATCTTGCCCCAAGAGACTTCTTTGTTTCCCCTGGTGAAAAAAGTCGTTGGGGGGAAACATTTTGCCAGTGTGGAAGAAGTAAAACAAAAACTGCAGAAGTACTAAAAGGCATCAAAATCAATGAGTTCAAAGATTTTTCTGAGCAATGAGGGGAAAAAAAGTCTCAGTAGGTGTATTGCATTATATGGAGAGTACTATGAAGGTGACTGAAGTTTAAACATGTAAGAATAAATACACAATTTTTTCGATAAATTCCTTTTGGGGGGAGGGTTCTCCCGTGTACAACAAGAAATAAATATTTCACGTTTGTGCAGTATTTAACCTTTGAATGTCGCATTAATGTAGAAGGGAATGAGGATGAAAATCAAATGTATTAGAAAATAAATTTGAACTCAATCATAAAGGTTCTGTGGTTTATTAACTGAACTATTAAGAAATTGATTTGTAAAGTTCAGATTTTAAAACAATTGCTTAAAATATAAAAAAATTATTGATATATAATGAGCAATATTTGACAGGAGAAATGTCAACTTTAAAGTTATCTACTGAACTGCCAAATATCAAGTCTGCATCTAGCTTTACTCTGTATAGTCTTGTTTCATGCTTACAAGATATCACAGCATATATTTTTACTAGTGCTCTTTTTCTATTCTATCATTAATAACTGAATTAAAAGTAGAGCTTCCAATTTTACTTTTTTTAAGTTTCATTTTTAAGTCTTTTAACAACTTGAACAGAGTTGTGAATAGGATATTGTGATTCTGTGGGAAGGTCCTGTTATGTGTACTTCAGTAACCGAAAGCATCTGGTGGAATGTATACTGTGGTATCTTCTCAGGAAAGCTGCATTAAATATTTAAAATGTGATTAATGCATTCTCAACTTGTACATCAATTGTTAGCTGTCATAGTCACAAATTCGGGAAGAGTAAATAACCTTAGTAATTAAAAAGATGCAGATTATGAAATTCTCGCACATTCAGAAGTGCCATGCTCTATTTTTTCTATTTATGCAGACGTTAAAAATGGTGATTGCATAGTTGTCTTTGTGACAAATATAGATATCATTTGCCTTTTTTCAGTAAAAGAAGAGCATATATTTGATAAACATTAAGCTAATATTTTACTTCACTGACTTTAATTAGAAATTATAGAAATGAAACATTTAGAATAATGTTTGTCAAATACAATCATGTTTTAAAGTTAGTACAGTGAAAAGGCAAAATAGCAAACCTATTCATAATTTACTTTGAAGCTCAGTGTTTTTGCTTTCTTAGTAGTCTACCACCTCCCTCCCTTCTCCTTCCCTTTTCTGTTCAAATGGAGAGGATATAAGGAGAGTACAGAAGCAACAGGTCTTAAACGAAAGCGTTCCCAAGGTACAGTAATTGTAGTTTTATTTCTCCATGTAGTTATATTCCTGGCTTATAGCATTTAGCTGTATTTAGAGCCTTCAGTTGTATTTAAAGCATAGAGATTATTAGTATTAGTATTTAAAGCATAGGAATATATACATTATGCTATTTTGTTTAGTGTTAATTATAAGTGGTAATATACATTTGGAAATGATATATATTGTCCAATAAAGGGATATTTGCCAATATTAAGAATGAAATTTTGTTGGCCTAAGATGATTCTCTTAATATCTTGAGCTTGTAATCTCAGTATTTTAATCATATGTTGCTCAAATCTATTTTAACAAAACAAAAATGTGATTTAGAAACATTAAACAAAAAGGCTTAGAATAGTGGCTTGGATTGGACATAGAATTAGAAAAGTAAGTAATTACACTTGTGCAAAAGATTTTTTTTAATTTATGAAAAGTTCTTTTTTTTTTTTGAAAAGTTCTTTTTTTAAAAAGTTGAATTTATGGTTTTTTTCTTTGGACCTGAAGATATTATTAATATGTGTTATGTTAATTGCATTTTCATCCTGTATTCAATGTTAATAATGTGTCCTGGCAGGTAAGTTAAATATAACCTGATTTCTCATAAACTTCCAAATTACATTTATAGTATCACTAAGAAATTCATTTTCCTGGAGTGGATTTACTTTTCTGTTAATTCTATTAGGAAATAGGTTTACATAAAAATGTCCTAGGATCTTAAGTCGTGATCAAGGACATACATCCTTTCATATTTAGCTTGTGGTTGTTTCCAGCCCATCTTCAGATCAAAAGAATTACACTGTGCCAGTAACTTAGCTTTGTGTAAGTCACTTAATCTCTTGATACCTCTGTGTCTTTATACATAATGGGAGAAAATATTTTGCTTAAAGAGGATTTTAAGAAAATAAAGTGAGCATAATGATTTGAAGGTGCCTGTTTCCTGAAGATGGGTATGTGAATTTCTCTTACCTCTATACCAGGGATAGAGAGGAAATGTATAAGTTCTTAAAATATGAGATTATCAAATTATGAATTGGTGGACATGTTATGACAATTTTCTCAATTCATTTCTCAAAACATTACTAAATTTGTGACATATGTCAGGCACTATATTAGGACACTGTGTTTGGTACTAGTGATTCAAAATAATCAAAACATAGTTTCTGCCTCCCAGAGCTTACATATTTCTGGAGTGTGTATGTTTGAATTTTTTTTAGCTCTTTTTTACCAAGCATACCTCACTTATAGAAGTACAATAACCAGACTTATTTGAACATCATAGTAGAATTTTCTTTGATTTCTTATTAAAATAGCTTTGACTTTGGTTTTCTGTTATAGTGAGTAATGTCCAGTAATAATTGGCTTTAATATCCATTCCAAAATATCTTATATTCTAATAGATAAGATTATTTTCTTCCCAAATGAAAGGTAATTTTTTTCTCTGAGTCTTGTTTTATTTTGCACTAGGCGAAATTTTCACAGATCCAAAAATAAAATCAACAGAAGAAAAGGAACTTAAGTTTCTATGTCAATAGTTGTTGACTTTCATAAAGGTATTTGTCTCTTACACCTAAGAAATGATACATCCATCGCCTGGGAAAGCAGGACTGTAATCATCAAAATGCATTAAATACACATTAGAGGTTAAAACTATGGTAGTTAAGCCACTTTCCATGTTGGTATACAACTTGTCATAAAATAAAGTTCCTACCCATTATTTGCTTTATATCAATATGTGTTTCGATGCAATAGTTTTTTTACTGAACCAAGTTCAAATATGGATTCAAAAAAATTTGTGTATTATAATTTTTCACACAAATGAGAGTCTTGGAGACCTTCAAATTAGTTTTTCCTTTTTTGCAACAGCTATTCGGAGTTTCAAGTTGAGTCGAAACCACGTGGACTGGCACAGTGTGAATGAAGTGTATCTTTATAGTGATGCAACAACATCTAAAATTGCAAGAACAGTTACGCAAAAACTGGGATTTTCCAAAGGTAATTGTTAAATATTACCATCGTTTGTCAAAATTTGGGGAATCCAACTCGACAGTTACTGCCCTATTAAATGAAACTTTTATTAAGATACTTGAGTTAACATATATTCGTCAGTGAATAATTATATATTCAGAATGATCTGACAAGATTAAAAAATATCTTTTATACTTCTAAAGCATAAAAGCAATTAAGCCCAAGGTACTGGTGTGAAAATAAAACATAGCAATTGAAACATAGTGGTATTTAGGGAGATGAAGACTGAATGAAATGGAGGCCATTGGTGACTAAGTGGATTGATGGGGCAGAAGCCAGTACGGCATGAGTGGAAGCTTTAGTCAAGGTGAAGAAATGGAGGCAGGGTTAATAGGCAGCTATTTAAAGACACTTGATAATTTGATCTAACTGCAGAAAAGGTACACTATCAAAATATTCTGTCTTGGAGTAGAGACAAATTAGAAATCAGAAAATGGAATGTTTGCATCCCTTTAAGAAAAATGAAAATCATAACAAAAATGTTGTTTCAGGAGACTTTGTACAATATTCATGTAAACTTGTGAGCAAGCTTTTATTTTGATCAAAACCGATCGTCTTCATTTTTGTAATAAAATTGAAGACTCACCCACTAAATAAATAAATAAATATAGGCACTAGACTAAAAGAAAAAAAGGGAATGGTGCCTGGGGAAGATATGAGAGCATTAACAAAAAATAAACTTAAAAAATACTTGTCATGTCTAATTTTTTAATATCTCATTTTTTGTTTTAATTTTTTCGAGAACAGGTATGCTTGAATATCTTTTCGTATGTTCATTAGCTGTATTTGTTTGTGAATAACCTCATATCTTTAGCCTGTTTTGCTACTCGAATGGTTTGTCTTTTCACTTTGATAAGTAAGCTCTCTTTGTATACTCAGGTAATTGATTTACTGTCTGTCATATTTTGTAACATTTTTTCCAAGTTTGTCATTTATCTTTTTGTTTTGTTTTTTTAAGATTGTTATTTATTTTTAGAGAGGGGGAGGGAAGGAGAAAGAGAGGGAAACATCAATGTGTGGTTGCCTCTGGTGTGCCCACCATGGGGACCTGGCCTGCAATTGAGGCATGTGCCCTGACTGGAAATTGAACCGGCGACTCTTTGCTTCGCAGCCCTACACTCAATCCACTGAGCCACACCAGCCAGGGCTCATCTTTTATTTTTACCTCATGATATTTTTTCCTTGAAAAGTTTAAAATTTTTGTGTGTTCAATTCTTCCTTCCTTCCTTCCTTCCTTCCTTCCTTCCTTCCTTCCTTCCTTCCTTCCTTCCTCCTCCCTCCCTCCCTCCCCCCTTCCTTCCTTCCTTCCTTTTTTTTCCATTATGGTTTCTGGCTTTGGCGTCCTGTTCAATTTAGCACTTTATGTACATCATCTTACAAATTTTATCTCTTCCCAACCCAGTAAAATTCTTTTGTAGTATTTTCTTGTCTTCTTTCTGTCAGTATTTTGTGAGAATGCTTTTTTTTGGAGTAAATAGTGAACTTAAAATCATAATTTTTCTACAGCATCAAGTAGTGGGACTAGACTTCATAGAGGTTATGTAGAAGAAGCCACATTGGAAGACAAGCCATCACAGACTACTCATATTGTATTTGTCGTGCATGGCATTGGGCAGAAGATGGACCAAGGAAGAATTATCAAAAATACGGCCATGTGAGTTATTTGATTAATACATTCTCCATCTAACCTACTATGTAGACTTTGTTCCTTACCATCTTTCATCTTTCCCTGTTTTTAAAAAAGACTTTGTTTATTTACATTCTATTAGAGAAAGGAGAAAGAGGGAGAAATGAAGGGAGAAAAACATTGATGTGCAAGAGATGCATTGATTGGTTGACTCTCACACCCCCAACCAGGAACCTGGCCTGCAACCCAGGCGTGTGCCCTGATTGGGAACCAAACCTGTGACCTTTGGGTTTGCAGGGTAGCACTTAGTCTACTCAACCACACCAGGCAGGGCTCCCTTCTTATTTTTAAGAGTCACACCAGATAATTACAACCAAGTGATTTAATAGACATGCCTGCTTGCTGAATTAGCTACTTACGTCACCATTTCAGAACTATGATAATGATGCTTGGAGTATAGGATTGAGTAAGTTTACCATAGAAAAGGACAGTATTTTAAGCAAATGTAATGTTTCTCACTTTGTAACTCAAAATCAGGGTTCTTCAATCTCATCACTATTGACATTTTATTTCCAGATAATTCTTTGTTATAGGTGGCTGGCATATGAGTTGTAATGTATTTAGCAACATCCCTGACCTCTACCCACTAGGTGCAAATAGAACTCCTAGTTGTGACAACTGAAAATGTTTACAGACATTGCCAAGTGTTCTCTGGAGGAATATTATCCATGGTTGAGAACCACAGTCTAAATGAACTTTTTGTTTTAATCCTAACCCAAGGATATGCTTTTTATTGATTTCAGAGATTGTGTGTTGGTGAGGGGGTTGGGGTGCTAGGTAGAGAAACATTGATTGTGCCTCCTCTATGTGTCTTGACTGGGGATCGAACCTGCAACCTTTTGGTGTATGGGACAATGCTCCAAGCAACTGAGCCACTCAGTAAGGGCAAAATGAACTTTTTTTCTTTGTAAATTCAGATGATGCTATACATACTACTTTCTAACTACTATGTAATAATATAGAACTGTACAGCCATCAAAAATGAATAAGTGAGCAGAAGAAATCTTAAAATTTTTTTTCTTGTATAAAACTGAACATTCGAGAAGATGACAAAGAAATTTACACCTTGTATCTGTGACCATTACTTGGTGACTACTGCAAAAAAAAAATGGAACTTGTAGACTCTATGAGTAATAAACAAGATCCTACCTTGAAGTCTGAAGTTTTGGCTGTCATTTTTATTTTTAGTGCGATAAGGGAAGCAGATTATTTTTTGTCAACTTAGAATGTATTTAGACCTTTTAAAATGGCAACTTTGGAGATTTACAATCGATAAAATATTATACCTGACCCTTGAATCACACAGGGCCTGTCAGGGCTCTAACATTCTTTGCAGTCAAAAATCTGTGTGTGACTACAGCTGGCTTTCCATGTAGGAAGATTCCCAACCAACATGGATTCGAACTGTGCAGATCGTTTTTTAAAAATTGCATATGAGAACCAAGCAGGTCAAACTGTTGTTCCAGGGTCAACTGTGTTATAGTGTACATAATACCTTTTAAAATATAAGGTCTGTCCAGAAGGTATCCAGCCATATAAATAGAAAAAAATAGAATTTATTAAGGAAGATACGAGAAACACTATACATAGGACAATGACACCTCAGTGCCCCTCAAGGTAGACACCTTGCGACCTCACACAGTTCTCCTATCACCATCAGCTGCCCTGTCATAGTTTCCTTAATCTCATTGACAAGTCTGAAATCTCTTCCCTTTGAAAGGTGATTTCAGTTTTGGAAAAAGCCTGAAGTTACAGGGCTCCAAATCTGGGCTGCAGGAGACTGAGTCACCTGGGTGATTTGATGTCTCACAAAAAAAAAACTGCACCAGACATGATGCATGAGCAGGTGCATTGTCACGACGAAGCTGCCGATCACCAGTTACCTATAGCTGCAGCCTTCTGAAGCATCCACATAGTTTCCGCAGAGGAATATTCAAGCTTAATGCAAAATCTGATGCAGATTCGTTGGTCTACTCAGTCATTTTTAATGTGACAGCCACACAGTACACATGCTCACTCAACAGCATCTACCAGTCCCATTGACTAGTACAGTGAAATCGACATTTTTCACACATATGCATTCCAGTCCATTCTCCTCAACTGCCAGGTTTACATCGAGGTCACACAAACCGTTCTTGTTATATATAACAATGACTCTGAATGACAAAAATTAGACTCTGAAAAGTCCTACAGGATATTTAAAAAATAATAAAGCAGAAATAGGGATCTATAGATTAAAAGACATCCACAAATTACAATGCATGGACTATATTTGGAGCTCAATTTAAACAAGTGTAAAAATATTATTATCTAACTGAGAAAAGGGATCACTAAATTACGTATATGCCCCCCAAAAAGAATTATTGTTTTTGGTATAAATAGTATTGAGTAGGTTATGTTTTCTTTACATTTTAGAAATAAATACTAAATTACAGATGAAGTAATGTGATATCTGGGTTATGAGGGAAAGGTGGTACTATAAAGGAGTTTGAGGGAATGATAGAATTATTGTGTGTCTTGATCGTGGTGGTGTATCCACAAGATTAGCACACATTTGGTCCTGTCCAAAATGGCCATAGAGCCCTGGCCAATGTGGCCCGTGGTTAGAGCATCTTTCAGTACACCAAAAGGTTGTAGGTTCAATTATTGGTCAGGACACATGCCTAGATTGCAGGTTAAATTCTTGGTCAGAGCACACATGGTAGGCACCCGATCCATGTTTCTCTCTCTCTCTGTCTCTCTCTCTCCCCTCCCCCTTTCCTCCCTTTCTTCCTCTGCCCATCCCTTCCCATTTCCTTCTTCCCTCTCCCTCTTCCTCTCTCTCTAAAAGAAAAAAAAAAAAAGCAGTGAAAAAATGTCCTCAGGTGAGGATTTAAAAAAAATTACAACAAAACGTCCATAGAGACATTTGGTCCACACTAAAAGATCCTTGATATGTGTTCCTGTCCAAAACATCATGGAGACTTTGGGTCCATATCGACCCATCTACCTAACCCTGTATTCCATGAGCAACTAGCCTGCGTAGGCAAGAAGGGATATCATTGGCAGGCATATAGCCATAATACAATTAGTGGACCCATAAAACATGATATTATCTATTATGTATTAATTCTGTAAACCAAAAGCATATATAAGTGTTATCGGCTGTTTAAACTCAGCAACATTTTTTGAGCATGGCTGTTTTGCACATGACCAAATAGAAAGGCACATTTGGCATGAACAAAATTTGCTTTGAAATGAAATGTCATATGTTGTAGTGGTAATTGAAACATAATTGGACATAGTATAAGCAAGTTGGAAGTTGTTATAATTACATTTTATATCATGTAAATATATACGTGAAGTCACTCTAATAAAGTTTAGTTTTTGCTTTTCTTTTATTTTTTTAGGATGAGAGAAGCTGCTAGAAAAATAGAAGAAAGGCATTTTTCCAACCATGCAACACATGTTGAATTTCTGCCTGTTGAGTGGCGGTCAAAACTTACTCTTGATGGAGGTACATTATGTTTAAAAATTAAATGATTGAGCTATTAGCAACAAAGTGATGCTCGTTGGGAACAAAGAGTCTTTAATTTAGTTGTCTTGGGGTATATGCATTCTCTGTTCTAGATTATTTAAGAAAATAAAATCCATTGGTTTTTAAAATAATACTGACTTAGGTCATTTTGGAGCACTCTATGGATTTCACATAGCAGTTTCCATGAGTGCCCTCTGAATTAAGGGTGGGAGTGGATGGTATGTTTTCTAACATACATTGTGGAGTGGAGGGAACAATGTTTTCTAAAGTTTTTGACACAGAAAGTAATTTGTTGATACTTTTAGAAGTCCCGTGCACTATTCACTGTACTATACAGCCACCTAAATTGTCAATACTATTAAAACACTGTTGTCACAATTCCTTATGAGCTTAAATTTTCTTCCTAATACTTTTCCTTCCCTATATTTGGATGGTAAAGCATCAGATCTTTGGTGGTTTTCCTACATTCTCTAGGTTATTTGTTTCCTTCCTTGAAGAACAGTTAGCCAAAATATGCATCTCTTTACACAAAGTTGTATCCTTTCAATATGAAAACCATTAAAATAGAATAATGTTTAGGTTATTTACATAATCTGGAAGATGAGAAAGTTGTACTAGATACAATGGCAGCTGCCATTTGTGGAGCCTTTACTGTGTGCCTGGGACTTTGCAGTTCATTTTTTTTTTTTTTTTTGGAATATCTCTAATTTTCTCACAAATCTGTGAAATATCTACTTTGTTTTCTCTATTTTACTGTGAAGGAAACTGAAACTCAGTAAAAGTGAATTTAACTGAGAATACTTAGCAAGCAGAATCTAGATTCCTGTAATGCCGGAGCCCTTACTCATCACATAGCTAAGTGGCCTCCCGGATGATTTCCCAGGACTCTTCTAAGGCTGTGATTCTGCCTCTCACAGTCAGGAATGTCAGTTACAGATATAGATCAAAGTGGCATCAAAAGTCATAATAATTTCAAAACAAAAATGCTAAGGACCAAAGACTTCTCAGCAGCAACAGTGCATATTAAGTTCTAGTGTAAAAACACTATCTTGGGCTTTTCGCATTCATCCAGATAAGGTTCTTAGGCTGCTTAGGAATGTAGACAAATGGATTAATTCACTTTTAGTAAAAGCCAGGAGTTTGTAATTTTCTGTTAGGTCTAAAATATTATGATAGAGTCTTTTTTTAAAGATTTCTTTTATTTATTTTTGGAGAGGGGGAGGGAGGAAGAAAGAGGAGAGAAATATCAGTGTGTGGTTTCCTCTTACTCACCCCGCCCCCCAGGGACCCAGCCTGCAACCCAGGCTTGTGCCCTGAGTGGGAATCAAACTAGCGACCCTTTGGTTCGCAGGCCCACACTCAATCCAATGAGCCACAACAGCCAGGGCTAAAATATTGGGATACAGTCTTGAAGGTGGCATTATATTGAATGAAAGAAGTTGAAGGAAAATCACCTGTTTCTCTCTATTCTCAGTACTTAGGACACCAATTGGGGAGATTATCCCCATACCACAAATTGTCTAATTCTTTGTGGACACCAGTTCTGACACTACCCAGAGATAATGTAGACAGATTAAGGACACAGTCCCACAAGACTCCCCTCACTTAAGATGCCAATCACAAGTCCTAGATTGTCACCTATAGTTCTTATCGACTAGCAATAAATTGCGGGGGTGGGGGTCTCATGATCTCATCCTGAGGTTCAGTAATTTACAAGAATGACTTAACAAAATTCTGAGAAACGTTTACTTACATCTGCTGGTCTAAAGGATATTACAAAGGATACAGATGAGCAGCCAGGTGAAGAGCCCTGAATAAGCAAGGTATGGGGATTTCATGTCACCTTTGAGTACACCACCCCTCTAGTATATCCATGGGTTCACCAACCTGAAAGCTCTCCAAATCCTGTTGTTTAGAGTTTTTATGGAGATTTCATTATATAGGCATAATTGATTAAATCATTGGCTGTTGATAATGGACTCAATCTCCAGTCCCTCACCCCTTCTCTGAGGTCAGGGGATAGGGCAGAAAGTTCATCCCACTAATAAATGACATGGTTGGTTCCTCTGGCAACCAACAACATCCTCCAAGAATCTCCTCATTAGCATAAACTCAGTTATAGTTGAAAGAGGCTTATTATGAATAATAAAAGATACACCTTTTAGTCCTGTCACTCAGAAAATTACAAGGGTTTTAGCAGTCTTGTGCCAGAAACCAGGGACAAAAATTATAAATATGTGTTTCTTACTATATCACAGTCTTAGAAGCCAGTCTCAAAGGTTACATAATTTATGTTGCATTTATGTGACATACTTGAAAAGGAAAGCTATAGGGACAGAGAAGAGATCAGTGGATGCCTTAGTTTATAAGAAGGCAGGAGTTTGAATTAAAAAGGGCAACATGTGGGAATTTTTTAGGATGATGGAGCAGTTCTGTATCCTGATCATGGTAAGCTATGTAAAACCACATATGCATTAAACCTAAGAGTTAATTTTATATTGTTTCTAAATTTTTAAATAATGATAAAAGGTACTTGCCTATAGCAAAACATCATTATGCTCAGGAAGAGGTAAGCATGTCACTCTTTTAACAAATATTCCACTTGAACTCTTAGCTGGTGCAAAATAATAAGAAAAAATAATAATTTTAAGGAATGGAAAAGATGTTATTTGCAGGTCATATGATTGTCTATACAGAATATACAAAATATATTTAAAGAAAAATTATTAGAATTAATAAGAGTTTATTAAGGTTGTGAAACAAAAGATCTCCCCAGGGTGGGGCAAAAGTAGGTTTACAGTTGTGAGTATGGAGCAGAGTTTATTCTTGTCTTACTGTTTTTTAATTATTGTATTTTACGTATGAAAAGCTATAAACTTACTTTTGCCCCACCCTGTTTAAAAATAATTGCATTTTTACATACCAGCACAATTAAAAGTACCATAAAAATATAAGTTTTCTAGAAATACATCTAATAAAATATGTACATTTACATTAAAAACTTAAAATATTATAAAATGTTAAATGCATCTTAAATATAAAGATAATTTTCTTAGATTGTATAGACTTGATTTCCTAGATATTTAATTCTCCTAAATTGATGTATAGATTCTATGCAATTCCAGTCAGAATCACAAAAGAGATTTTTGTGAACCTTGACAAGCTTATTCTAAAATTATTATAGAAGAGCAAAGTCCCCAAAGTAGCCAAGATGTAGAACAAGAGAAGGAGGAAGGGAGTCAAGTTCTAGTACACTATGAAGACAGAAAAACACAACTGCAAAATAACATGGATAAATCTGATTAAAATTAAGAGCTTCTATTTCTCAGTAGACATCAAGTGAAAGACAGACCATAAACTGGGAAAAGATGTTGCAACAGAGCAACAGGTGTACCCACCAAAGGTTTACTATCCAGAATAAAGATAAAAAACTTAAATGGAGAGAGAGATACAAACAGCTTATTCATATGTGCGTTTTATATGTTAATATTTTAAATATATATTTTATATCATTTATAATGTACATCTCAATAGTCTAATAATCAAGGAAATGCAAATTAAAACCACAATAAAATATCATTGATATTCATCAACTTGGCAAAAATGTAAGGTGAGGCTCTGCAGCAATGAGAGCGTGTAGCAATGAGGATTCTCATTCACTCTTGGTGAAAATGTAAATTGGTACAATCACTTTTGGCAGACCATTTGACATTGTCTTTAGAAGTTGAATGTGTATGTGCCCTATGACACAGCAGTTTCACTCCTACCCTAAAGAAAATCTCATACATATGTACACCAGGAGTATAGTTTATACTAGCAAAAAACTAGAAACAACCCAAATATCTTTCAAAGGAAAACGAGTAAATTGTGACATATGTATAGAGTAAATGAATGGATTACAGTTATATGCATTAATACCAATGAATCTCAGAAACATAATATTGGAGGTGAAACAAACCATGGACAGTAACTCAACTTACTGTCACAGTATTTGAAACAGCCAAAGTGAAATAAAATATTTAGGCTCTGGTACCTAATATATGCCACAGAATTGGCCAAAATTATTAATGTTAATGGATATGAAGGAAATCTCTAAAGAAAAGCAAGGTGTGATTAACACAAATGTCATTGGGGGTTACTTCTAGGAAGGGTGTGATCATTCAGGGGCATACTGAGGATTTAAAAGATATTGACAGCATTGTTCAGCTAGGTAGTAAGAACATGTTTTCCTTTTTATAAATCATTCTTTCAGCTGTACACATATCTTAAGTATCTTTTTGTATGTATGTGTATTTCCCATGAAAATCCTTTTGGAAATTCATTAAAATGACATTTAAACTTTTTGTATCAGCATGGGAAAGTCACACCTTTCTCTTTTACAATATAAAAATAGGTACAGGCTATAATGTTGTGCTGTCCATGAATAGTTACAGTATTCTTTTTTAAATCTTTCGAAACTCTTCTCACTTTGCTTTAATAATTGCCTTCCAGTCATTAGTATATTGTATAAAAATGGGAAATAGCCCTGGCTGGTGTACCTCAGCATTAAGCACCGGCCTGCAAACCAAAGGCTCCCAGGTTCAAAATTCCCAGTCAGAACACATGCCTGGGTTGCGGACCGAGTCCCAAGTTGGGGGCATGTGAGAGGCAACCACACATTAATGTTTCTCTCCCTCTCTTTCTCCTTTCTTTCACCTCTCTCTAAAAATAAATAAAAAATCTTTTTTTTAAAGTGGGAAATAAATAAAATAACTTAAACCAATGCAGTGAAGATAAAAGAAATTGTACTAGACTAATAATATAAGCTTTCTGCTGCCCACCTTGCTTTGAGATCATAATGTTTATCCAAACATAGGACTCTTTGTGTTTTTATAAGAAATGCACATTTTTGTGCATCTCTAATCATCTTATTAGGCATTTACTAGAATAGGCTCCCTCGGTAGAATTTTCGTAGGTTAGCTGTAAGTCCCAGAAGGCTGCATATGTTTGTAGTGCATTACCTATGTTTGCAGTGCAGTTTTTTTTTTTAAGTAAATTACAGCAGCTTTATCTTGTTTACTGCAGATGCCCATTGCTGATTTGCATTTGTGCATATTTGTAATTTGACAGCTCTTTCTCGTAGGGTATTTGGTTCACTATGGATAAATGTAAAGTGTAAAGAAACTTTTTTCGCTGGTTTGCCACCAGTGCCTCTAGGCATGCAACATGGGTGTGGCCAGGCCCAAGGTGCATAGTCCGAAGAAGAGAAAGGAAACAGAAAAGGAGGTACAGAAAAAGTAAGACTGTGTCCCTTGGCACTTGTTCTAGGACTAGGGAAAAGCTGTTTTTTGCTCTCCCCTTAGGGAAGGGTTAGTTTTGAATATTGAAATGTTAAAGAGTTGTTAGTTCAGGGAATATAATTTTTTGCACAGTTTATTTTTTTTCCTAAAACAGATATCTTCTCTTAGCTTTGTTTGTTTGTTTCTTTATTTACAGACACCGTTGATTCCATTACTCCAGACAAAGTACGAGGTTTAAGGGATATGTTGAACAGCAGTGCAATGGACATAATGTATTATACTAGCCCACTTTATAGAGATGAAGTAAGTATCATGATCATCTTGTTGCTGTTGGGTATTTTATAGAATGATAGCATATGTGTCCTGAATTTTAACATTTATGCTTTTTTTTTTACAAATGAGAAATTACAGGAATCCATTAATCTATTGAGACCCTTAGTAAAATGAATGACTTTGAAAGTGGAAGATTGGTTAGGAGATATCTCTGAAAAATATCAGTTTTCACAAATTTGGTTAATTATGTCTATGATTGTTGTCCTCACAACAAAACTTTCTGTTTTAGACAGAAAGTTCCTTGAAATTTTGTGTATGTAATAGACTTGCTTTTACTGTCATTTCTGTAGTGGATTCATATAGTTCTCAAACAGCGATGTTGCTAACATACCACAAGGACAACCCTAGTGGGGATGAGGGCTGACAGTTTATTCATAGGGATGAGAGAATCTCTGCCAGTGAATTTTGTCACTCTATTGGGAAGAGAAAAAGAATTCTGTTTCATTGGAATAATCTTGTTAATTATCTAACATGTATTAACATGTTTAATCCTCCTCAGAACCCAATGCAATAGATAGGGTTAGTATCCGCATATGAAGGATGGAGTGATGGGTGCAAGGAGAAATATACCAGTAGAGCCACTCTGTGCTGCTCCAAGACAATCCATTTCTGATTTTGTTCCGTCCAAGTCACTCCCTGACTTCATTCAGGATATGCTTTACGTAGCTACAGAAATACTCTGGTTAGTTGCCACAGAAACATTCTTCTCTTCTGGCTGCCATCCCCTTAGAATATGTCTTCATTTTTCTTTTCTGTATCCCTTCATTTCCATATATCAGTATTAGGCAAGGTTTTCCTTGATCTGATTACAACAGTAGAAGCAACTACAAGGAGAACTGCTATTTGCACCTAATTCTAGCCAAGGAAGGCTCAGTCAATGAAGTAGAATATTAATGATTTACATATTTATAGTTCTTCATAGTGTCTAGTGAGCATTGTTAGTTATGCCCTAAAGGTTAGAAAATTGGATTATAGTATTGAAAGTGAAATCAGTGAGGGGCAGGAGAAGAGAATGGCTGAAAGCATATTACTGTGCACATACTCCCCTGTATCTCTCTCTCTCTCTCTCTCTCTCTCTCTCACACACACACACACACACACACACACACACACACACACCACCCCCATTGGTAGTACTCCTAAGAAGGTATCCTGACTGTTTAAGGCTTAAACAGATTGAAACAATAATGACAGTTTTACATTTTAAGTTAATGTTAATAACAACAAAAACTAAAAAAGACAAAAGGGTCAGACTCAAAGCTCTGGCCATTGGCTAATGATAACTAAGAAAGTGGTCACTTTTTATTTTGTGCTTATAAATCTTTAAAGATAATTATCCTCAAGGCCCGGGCTGGTATGGCTCAGTGGATTGAGTGCCAGCCTTTGAACCAAAGGGTTGCCAGTTCAATTCCCAGTCAGGGTACATGCCTCAGTTAGGGGCCACGTCCCCAGTAGGGGACAACCACACACTGATGTTTTTCTCCCTCTCTTTTTCCCTCCCCCCTCTTTGAAAATAAATAAATAAACTTTTTTTAAAAACTCATGTATTTAAAAAAAGATCATTATCTTCAGAATGGAATTAACTAAAACAGATAATTTAGAAGAAAATGGGAAATGGAAAAAGAATATCAGTGTTTAAATTTAGTTTTTTGATTCCATTGAATTTCATGGAAAAGCACTGAGAATTTGTGACTGAGATTCATCAGTCTTTATCAATGTTTCCCAAATATCTGCAATTAGAACAATCACTTGGGATGCTTATTAAAATTACAGGCATAAAAAGAACCCCATGGGGGAACCTTGGAATTTAGGGTATCAGTATGAATTTATGATTTGAAAATATGTTGGTGTGTATAGATGTAATCTCTGTATTTAAGTTTATATTGTTTACACATGCATATATTTCCTACTGTTCATTGAAAGGGCCAGGAAGCAGACACCCCAATTTAATGAGCACACCTAGTACCCAGATCTTTTCCCCTATTATTATCCCCTAAGAAGAACTAGAGTTGCTTGGAAAAAATTGCTGACTCCAGAGCTCGGGACAGAATAGGTAGAAGTCAAAGATAAAACAACTTGTTATGACAAAAAGTAGGAAAACACTTAAAAGAATGAGGGAGCAGGTCACAAGGTCAGAAATCAGATTAAAAAAGATCCGACTGGGCCAAATCTGGAACAACTTGAGAACAAATTAAGTAATTATTATCTTTTATCATAAGGAATTAGTAGTACTTTTATACAGACTTATAATGAGGACAACGTAATAAGGGAATTCTAAATCACTGAAAAATTCATAAGTTCCTATTAACTATAAATAGATAAGCAAATGGGCGCAGGGAGGTCCTTTGCTAACAGTAGAATGCAGAGGGCTTAGTGGTAAATGTAGGAGGAATGCTGGAGTGGTAAAATCCTCAATCTGCAGCCGTCAGGGTTGGATCAGGTAAGAGGGGTGGGCAAGAATCATCAATAGATCCAAAATTGAGGGCAAAATTTTGAAGAGAAACAGAATGGTCTCAGTGTGTATTCTCACACACTGCGTATTAGTTAAAAAGTGAGAAAAGGTATCCAGGCATCCCCTTTCCTGGTATTACTGAGGGAGTCTCAGAGGACACAGGATCATTAATGCAGTATTTCAGTCATGAGAAAACAGCAGACAAACACAAATGGAGGAGGTTATATTTAAAAAGTAGAATGGTACTCCGGTTTCTCTTCAGATCGTATAAATCTTTCACCTTTTTAAAAGTATTAAGAGACTGTGTTCTTTTAAAAGGCTGACATCATGAAAGACAAAAATGGCTAACCAGAATGTTCCAGATTAAGGAGGCTAAAGAGACAGGATAGCTAAATACAGCATCTCTTCCTGGACTGTGTTCTACAGTGCATGGGGTAAAATGCTGCAAAGGATATTATTAGATCAGTTGGCAGTTTTAAATGTGGACATTTAATTAGATGAAATATTTTAGCAAAGTAAATTTATTAAGTCAATAACTATAATCAATATGTTTATGGAAGAGAATATTCCTAGTCTTAGGAAGTATATACACTGGAGTCTTTAGAGGTAAAGGACCATGACATCTATAATATATCCTCGGCTATTTTACAAATAAAAAAATAGGTGTACATACAGCCCTGACTGGTGTGGATCTTAGTGGGTTGGGGGCTGGCTGGTGAACTGAAAGGTCAGGTCACATGCCCAGGTTGGGGGCCAGGTCCCTGGTTGGGGGCATCATGTAAGAGGCAACTGGTCAGTGCTTTATCACACACATCAGCATTTCTCTCCATTTCTCCCTCCCTTCCCCTCTCTCTCTAAAAATAAATAAAGTCTTAAAAAAAAATGTGCATGTGTATGTAATAGAAACAGAATAAGTAATGAAACGTAAGCTAAAATGCTAATATATGAATCTTGGGTAAAAGGTATATGGATGATTTGTGTTCTATTTACTTTGCAACATTTTATAAATTTGAAATTATTTTCAAATAAAAAGTTAAGAAAATGACAGAGTTTCTCAGGTTTCTTCCCTGGAGGCTCTTAAATCAGTGGGTCTGAGGGTAGAGCCTGTGTGTTTATGTTTTTAAAGCTCCACAGGTGATACCATCAGAGAAATGTGGGAAACATGACTAAGGCATTTTGAAGAACAAAAGAAAAACTTAGAAGTGGGCAAAAAATCTTTCTTATTTTTAAAAAAGGAAAGCTCATTCTGCAAATCAAAGTGCATTTAGTAACAATGGTGGTTTTAGGTGGAATCTTAGAATAAGTTATTTTTCAACAGTATATGTTTACTTAAGGAAGTTGTGATAAATAGTAGCCAGCAGTTCTTCAGGGATTAGTTCGTGCCTAGTGAACAAACCTTGTTTGATTGATTGATAGGCATATGAAAGAGTCTTTTTCCCCTTCCTGTCACCCTTTGGAATCAAATAGATACAGATTCAAAACCTGCCACTTAACTAGCTGTGTGACCTTAGATCTAATTTCTCATTTTCTCAGCTTCCTCTCTTATAAAATGGACCTAAAATATGTACCAGACAAAGGTTGCAGTGAGGACTAAAGATGTATATGTATATAAAGTTTCCAGTACAGTTCCTTTTCCTTGTATTTTCAACTTGAGATTAAGTGTATATCTGTCTTTATGTATTTCAAGGGCTACCATTTAGAAAAAAAGATAATAGACATTTTTTAACTCTAGAAATTAAAATAAGTATCAGTAAGTAGAAAATATGGAAAGGAACACATTTGTTTACTATTGAATGACTTTGTAATAACTAATGCTACCTTTAAAAAAAATAGAGGTATTATCCCTGGCTGGTGTAGCACAGTGGAGGGTATTACCAAAAAAATTATAGTGATGAGTTTTATCCAAACTTTATTATGCTAGTCATTTTACAATATATACATATACCAAATCATGTTATATACCTTAAACTTTTTTTATAATGTTATACATCAATTATATCTCAGTAAAACTAGGAAAACATTTTTGATAAAGAAGTGACCACTCTAGAGATACTACTACTAGAGGCTGAGCAACTTATCAGGGATATACTGAAGGGACTCCTTCACAGTCGTTTAAGTTATATTATCTCTGAGGTCTCTTTTCATTCATGACTTTGAGGTTGCTCTTGGAAGGATCCTAACTCATGAGTGTGCAAGTAATCACTAAGAAAAAACCATGGTTAGGAAAAAAGTTTTATGTTTAAATCATAAGGTCACACTGATCACACTTAAATCTCAGGTCACACTTTCTGAAAATTTTTTCTGTTTTTTTTTTTTAAATAGAACTAATATTCAGACTTTCATCATCAGAGAGCCCTTGGTCCTTACTTCAACCCTAAATAAAGTAACATGAAAAATCAGAACTGTTTATCTTGCACACATCTGAACTCTATTTGCAATGGTTTTTAAAAAGGCAGAATTACAATGACAGTTGTTAGAGCAGTATCTTGTCATTGTTATTTGAAATTTATTTAATTGAAGTCAGTTGTAATTAATAAACTTACTATAATTTTATTAAAAAAGGAAATTGGCCCTGGCTGGTGTGGCTTAGTGGCTTAAGTGCCAGCCTGCAAACCAAGGGGTCACAGGTTCGATTCCCAGTCTAGGGCACATGCCTGGGTTGTGGGCCAGGTCCCCAGTAGGGGGTGCATGAGAGGCAATCACACATTGATATTTCTCTCTCTTTCTCCCTCCTCTCCCCTCTCTAAAAGTAAATAAAATCTTTAAAAATAAAAAAAAATATTCTTGATAGGAAAATACTGCTGGGATTTTTGTTGGCAGGGATTGATTTTCTTCATAAATTTTAACTGTTGAGCTGTGCTTAGAGATTTAGAGACTTAAGTTTTTGAAAAGCCATTTAATGCTTACTGTGGAAGAGGTTAGCTGATTTGATTAGATAATATATGGAGCTAATGAAATTAAGATTGCAGGATTTATCATTAATCTTGGTCCAAGTTTCCCAAATGAATATACTTTGTCACAAAGGGATTCTAGCTAGGAGAATATAATTGGATCAGAAAGGAAAACCAAATTAGAGGGAAAAAAACTAATTTGAGTAGACTTCATGGGTAAAACAGATTTCTCTTTTTGCTGCTGAGTGGATGATTTATAAAAGCATTTAGAGGTAGAGCAAAGCCTTTTTAAAAGTTGGCTTTCAAAAAGCATATGAAAGAGTCTTTGCTGACCCTTTCAAAAGCATAGTATGTTGACCACAAGTGTTCCTGCATTATGTAAGGTACAGGCAAAGACTAGAAATGCTACCATCTCTAGATACGTTCTGATGAGGAAACATGAAGACCATATTTCTATTTAAGTATATGATTATTAAAACAGATGGAAGCATCAGCTCTCCAGAAGCTGTTCATTCTGCGTCATTCTATGATGAAGTATTTTACTGTCAAGTAGAATTTCTCTGTCTTGAATATTTACCCTTGGGTTTTTAGCCATATATGACTGATGGACTAAGAACTATTGAATATAGTGAGAGGTGCTTTAAATATTTAAAATATGAAATTAATCAATCACTGGTAGAGATATGGGTAGATAATTTTTAAATTTTAATATGAAGGGGTTGGTGTTTTAAAAAAACAGATTAAGTACCATTTCCCAGAGTACTTAAGTATATATCTTTTACTGTTTCTAGATTTACATGGTAAGAGTCTTAAAAATAGGCCTCCAAAAATGAAACTATTAACAAATGTTACTTTTGAAGGAATTTATTTTATCTAAACATTAGCCTTTTCTACAACTTTAGATTGTAAATCAGGAAAACTACAAAATTTTATGAGTTGGTTGAAATTCATATCAAAACCAAGTCATATTATCAAAGCCAAAACATTACATTATAGTTGACTTTGAACAGAGTGCGTGCTTGAATATCACATGCTTACTCTTGAAACTATTTGACTAGAATTACCTGCAATCCATTTCTTAGAAGGCTTTTATATGCCTTTGTCCCTAAAGCACTAGTCTCCAAAGTACAGCCCCTAGAACTGCTGAATCAGAATCAGAAACTCTGGGATGGCAGCCTAGTAACCTGCATTTAACAAGCGCTCCACATGATGCTGATGCACATTGAAAGCTGGAGAACCCTTGCATCAAAGCATGGGATTCTGTTGCTTTTCCTTGGGAAAAAAATTAAAATGTGCAATTAAAGTTAAGTTTTTGCTTTCCTCCCCAGAGAAAGGGCAGCTTTATTATAATCCTTCCATATGCTACCAGCTCATCTTGTCCTTCTCTTCCTTCATTGTTTGAATATATTTCTTTTTTTAATATATTATCGATTATGCCATTACAGTTCTATTTCCCCCCTTCATTCCCCTCCCCCCTCTCCCCCACCATTCTCCCCCTTTAGTTCATGAACACATCTCAAGTTCTTTAGATTCTATATTTCCCATACTATTCTTGCCCTCCCCCTATCTATTTTCTACCCACAGTCTATGCTACTTATTTTCTGTACCTTCTCCCCCCTTCTCCTTCTCCCACTCCCCTGTTGCTAACCCTCCATGAGATCTTCATTTCTATGGTTCTGCTCCTGATCTAGCTGTCCTCTTAATTTGCTTTTGTTTTAGGTGTGGTTGTTGATAACTGTGAGTTTGCTGTCCTTTCACTGTTCATCTTTTTTATCTTCTTTTTCTTAGGTAAGTCCCTTTAACATTTCATAGTATAAGGGATTAGTGATGATGAATTCCTTTGAATTTGATCTTATCTGAGAAGCACTTTATCTGTCCTTCCATTCTAAATGAAAACTTTGCTGGATAGAGCAATCTTGGATGTAGGTCTTTGGATTTCATGACTTGGAATACTTCTTTCCAGCCCCTTCTTGCCTGTAAGATCTCTTTTGAGAAATGTGCTGCCAGTGTGATGGGAACTCCTTTGTAGGTGACTGTCCCCTTATGTCTTGCTGCTTCTAGAATTCTCTCCTTCATTTTAATCTTGGCTAATGTAATGAAGATGTGCCTTGGTGTGTTCCTTCTTGGGTCCAACTTCTTTGGGACTCTCTGAGCTTCCTGGATTTCCTGGAAGTCTATTTCCTTTGCCAGAATGGGGAAGTTCTCCTTTATTATTTGTTCAGATAAGGTTTCCACTCATGGCTGTTTTTCTTCCCCTTCTGGTACCCCTATAATTTGGATGTTGGAGCGTTTAAAGATGTCCTGGAGGTTCCTAAGCCTCTCCTCCTTTTTTTGAATTCTTGTTTCTTCATCCTTTTCTGTTTGGTTATTTTTTTCCTCTTTCTTATCCACTCCTTTGATTTGAGTCCCTGTTTCCTTTCCATTACTATTGCTTTCCTATGCATTTCCCTTCATTTCAATTAGTTAGCCTTCATATGTTCCTCTAATTTGTGACTAAAATCAACCAGTTCTGTGAGCATCCTGATCACCAGTGTTTTGAACTGTGCATCTGAAAGTTTAGCTATTTCTTCATCACTTAGCTTTATCGGCTCTGGGGCTCTCAGTTGTTCTTGAGCCATGTCTTGATCTGTTTGTGCTCGTTACATATGAGGAGCAGAGCCTTAGTTGTTTACCAGGGTGGGGCCACCCAGGTTTCTGGTTTGTGACTCTGTATGTGGGGGCGGGTCAGAGAGGGACAAAGGTGGTCCCCTCTGCCACTTTCCGCCACTGGGGCCTGCACAGTCTGTCTCACCGCTTCGCTCCTTCACCAGTTTATCTGCGTTCGACTATGTGACTTTGGTCAGCCCTCAGTGAGTCCACCGCCTTGTGCCCTCAGTGGGTCTGCCCACTTCTCCACACCTGGGATCCACCCACGGCTGCGGGCACACCTGGGTTGCACGCCCAGGTTGGTCTGGTGGATCTTTCCTGCCCGACCCCACTCTGCTACTCGCTCTGCCCCTCTTACCGGTTTGGCTGAAGGGTTCATTGTTGTCAGACTTCCGTGTAGTTCAGTTTTCTGTGGTTTGGCTGCGTTTTGTTGCTAAAACTTTGTTGTTGTTGTTTTTTAAGATTTTATTTATCTTTAGAGGGGAAGGGAAGGAGAGAGGGAGAGAAATATCAATGTATGGTTGCCTCTCATGTGTCCCATGCTGGGAACTGGCCTGCAACCCAGGCATGTGCCTGGCTGGGAATCGAACCGTGGTTGCTTGGTTCCCAGGCCCGTGCTCAATCCACTGAGCTACGCCAGCCAGGGCTGTTGTTTTTAAACTTGGTTGTGTGAGAAGGTGCAGTGCTTCCACCTACGCCTCCATCTTGGCGGAAGTCCTTCTGAATATACTTCATCAGACCCAATACATGGTTTCAGTAGTTTTAACGAAACCCTCAGTGTTGCATTGTAGAGCTCTGAGATGTCAGCCAAGAGAACACCATGCCTTCATTCATGTCATTGCTAAGCCTACTAAGCATGAATGCTCAAATGATTCTCAGTTTAGGTCAGCAGGTAGAAAATGTTCAGTAAAATCTGATGGAATCTAGATGTCCTTGAGACATAACAGTAAGATTGAAAATAGAAGCAATACATAACTAATATTTGTATGTTGGAGTAACAGGTGGCATATTAAGAACTAGTGAATTGAGAAATTGAATATCAAGCAGGAAATTTACCATTAATTGTAGTCGTCAGCAATGATAGGAAGAGGAGAGAACGGCCTTAAAACTCAGGTCAGGACCCAGTATGGATTTGAGTAACAAAAGAACCTTATTCTTGTGACTTTATGGCATATACTGTTAAAGCTAAATTTCCCACATCATTAGAACCTCTAAACTTTAAAAAGCCTTGCTTTCCAGCCATATAAAACAATATTCTACTCACATCTATATTACCAACTTTTAGGAGTTTTAGAATATCAAGTAGATCAATATTGGCTTTTTCTTTAATCTTACAGTGGCATTTCATTACATCATTCTTATATAAATGCATCGGGTAATAATATATATAATAAGTATACCTGATATCATAAACTCAATTTTTTTTCTAAAATTTATTGTGGCCTTAAAACTACAAGGTACAAAAATTTACAGTTGCGTTTAAGTTGCAATGAAGAAGAAATTTCCAGGGGCTTTTTGAAATCTTAATCTATGGAAGTGCTGGTTCATATAGCTGGTTTAAAAAGACTATGAAAGGATTTGTGTGGATAATATTTGCCTTTATTTTTTAATAATGATTAAGGGCAACTGTGAAGTTGATATGGCCTCTGGTGAAAATGAGTTTGACACCCCTGATATGGATTATAATAATACATACCTTCATTTTCTGTAAGGTTTTGGAGCACTTAAATTAATTTTAATAACCAAGGTATATTTGGCCAGTAATGTGTGTTTTTCTTTCTTAATGTATGTGAGTTTAGAAATAAAGTTTATGGTAGTCAGTAATTACTCTAATATGATAATATTCTCTTATTTCAAACAGCTAGTTAAAGGCCTTCAGCAAGAGCTGAACCGATTATATTCCCTTTTCTGTTCTCGGAATCCAGACTTTGAAGAAAAAGGGGGTAAAGTCTCAATAGTGTCACATTCACTGGGATGCGTAATTACTTATGACATAATGACTGGCTGGAATCCAGTTCGACTCTATGAACAGTTGCTGCAGAAGGAAGAAGAATTGCCTGATGAACGATGGATGAGCTATGAAGAACGACATCTTCTTGATGAACTCTATATAACAAAACAACGGTAAAATACCCTAGCCTCTTAAAATAGTTTAAAATGTCTTCATGGAATTACTAGACTTCTTAGAAAACGTGAAGATTTTCATGATAAAGAAATAATACATTGTTCGGGTACAGAGATTACTAGATAATACACCTAATCAAGGACAGACTGTTTTCATGCTAATTACGTGCATTTTCCTGTTTCATAAAATAAATGACTTTGTCATCTGCTTCTTTTCCTTTGGTCTGTCCTTCACAATTTATTAGGACATCTAAAACTTTCTTAAAGCTGAAACACTGTGTAGAATCCTTGTTGAAATATTTATCAGTTTGTAATCCTTTATAGTTTCACTAATCTTACAGATGGGCTCTTACCTCTTTTATTCTAGAAATAATTTTCAAGCCTTTTTTCCTTGGCAAATCTATTTTTGACATATTTCATAATTATCTGTATAGTTAGTTACATGCTCTTTCTTCTTTGCCCTCTTAATGGCTATCATCCAGTCACTCTTAATAACATAGTGAAAAGTCACCCATTTTGACAATTAGCATTATATTAAAATAACCAGTTTAGTTGACTAAAAGTTTTACTCAGAAAGCCTTGGGTTTGTTTTATTCTGACAGAAGTTGTTTACAGATTTTTATTTAGAATCTTAGTACCATAGGCTAGATACATAAAGTTTACAGTGGCAAAATAATTGCTAGTTTTGAAAGAAAATGTCATATTGGCAAGTCTCAGAACAGCATTTTTTATATAAAATCTAGTAAAAAATTTGTTGAATAGGCTTATAAAATGAACTGCAACCTTTTATTTATTTTTAACTTAGTTCCATTGTTTATTAAATATAAGTAGGTATGGAACATTGTAATGGGATAAAATTGAAATATCTCAAATGTTCATTAGCAGAGAAGGATTAAATAAACTATAGTTCATTTGTAGAATGAACACAGCTGTTATAAAGAGTAAAGTAGATCAGGAAGCAATGAAATGAAAAGATGTCTAAGATTCATTATTAAATACAGGGGGGGAAAGACAGAACAATGTATATGGTGTGATTTGGTGTGAACATTTGGTGTGATTTTTTTTTAAATATTTTATTTATTTATCTTTAGAGGGGAAGGGAAGGAGAGAGGGAGAGAAACATCAATGTATGGTTGCCTTTCATACATCCCCTGCTGGGAACTGGCCTGCAGGGAACTGGCCTGCAACCCCAGTCTGTGCCCTGACTGGGAATCGAACCACGATTGTCCGGTTCGCAGGCCTGCGCTCAATCCACTGAGCTACACCAGCCAGAGCCTGGTGTGATTTTTTATTTTTACGAGAGATATATGTACATACTTGTCTCACATTTCACTGAAGGATCCACCAAAAAAACCTAACAGCAGGTATTATGAATAGTGGTACTTTTACTAATCATTTTATATACTTTTGTAGACTTTTCATGCTATAGTAGGTACATTTATTAAATACTGTCCATAGGGATTAATTTGAGGAATTAGATAATAGGTCATCAGTTTCTTCCTTATACTTAGTGAACTAGTGAGTACTCAATAATTATGAAATTATAAATATGTATAAATAATTTTATACTGCTTCCTAGGCTGAGAGAAATAGAAGAACGGCTACATGGATTGAAGGCATCATCCATGACACAAACACCTGCCTTAAAATTTAAGGTAAGGAAACATGGATAAGATTTTCATTATTCTTTTTCCAGAACAGTATTTGAGGCATGACACTAGGATTCAAATGAAATCTTAATTATTGTTCTTTCAAAGTGGTGTTTATTGAACACATACTATGTGCTGAATGGACACTGCTAGTTTCTGGGTTCTTCAAAGACAAGACAAGACAGTTGCCCAGACCTTAGGATAGAACGCAGTGTTACTGCTGCTATCAGCAGTATGCAAAATGATGTATATACAAGAGAGTAGTTTTTATTTTTAGCTAAAAGTGTTACAAGGGAATGACATTTGTACTTGTTACCAGTAAGTTGGAATGTTTCTAAGTGGAGGAAAGGAAAAATGCTATTCTGTGTAAAAGAAAGAACATAAAGGTATGGAGGGATGTAACTTTATATAGTACCTTCAAGAAACACAAAATAATCTCAAGCAGTGGGAAAAGAAAAATAGCTGGAAAATATTTAGCATTTAGTATTAACAAATGCATTAACAAAATATTTAGCATTAACAAACCTTTATGCCTAGCAATCTGGGGGGGGGGGGGGGGTCAGAAAAATAAGTGGAAATATAACAGTGATGATTCCAGGGAGGGAAAGTTGGCATTTCAGTCAGTGAAAGGTGTGTAACAAAAGCAGAAGATGGGACACAAGTGGTTTGTTTGGAGCAGGTGAACAAACCAGTTAGGTTAATGTGTAGAACTCAGGGCAGGGGGCTGTAGAAGAGCAGGGAGGGCTAGAAATAAAGAACTTATATATGATATGGAGAGTAGGAAGCTTTTCAAAGTTTTCAAGCATCAGAATGGAGCTGTCAAAAGCAATGGTTTAGAAGAATAAAAGTGGCAGAGAGATGTTGGTATTCCCCTCAGTGTTGAAAAGAATACAGCCTACAGCTGAAAAACAATGTTTCCATTGTTAAATGGAGTACAGCATAAGTTTCCTTGCGCTCATTTTCTGCTGACTATAGCCCATGTTAGTATACTATAGTACCTCTTCTTAAAATCTGTGGGGTTTTTTTAAAGATTTTATTTATTTATTTATTTATTTACTTACTTACTTACTTACTTATTTATTTATAGAGGGGAAGGGAAGGAGAGAGGGAGAGAAATATCAATGTATGGTTGCCTCTCTTGTGTCCCCTGCTGGGAACTGGCCTGCAACCCAGGCATGTGCCCTGACTGGGAATCGAACCGTGGTTGCTTGGTTTGCAGGACTGTGCTCAATCCACTGAACTACACCAGCCAGGGTGTGTGTGGTTTTTTTTTTTAATCACACAGATTAAGTAATAGAATGATGCAGAAAATTTTTTAAAACAGTAAGAATTTGGGGAAACAATTTGCAAAGTGTATGATTGTGTAACCACTAAGCTATATACCTGAAACTGATACAAAATAATATTGAATGTAAACTGTAATTGAAAAAAATGAATTAAATAAAACGTTCAGAATTTTCATAATATAGAATCTATCTCTACAACTTGTAAAGTTTTTTTTCAAACTTATACATTTAAAAACCATAACTAAATTTATAACATATATTTAAAAGCTATAAGAATGTAGTCTTTGGAATTATCCCCACCTGGAATTTGAGTTTCATTTTTATCACAATCATTATATATAATCAATGTCAAATACACAGAATTTATCTGGTAAAAGAAAGTAAACTCTTCTGTTTTGTGGACTGTTTTTTTTTTTACTGAAGAGTTGCGTATGATCCACTGAGATATATTAGGATCTCAAAATTTAGTATCACATATATTAGTAATTATGTACTATAATTCCGTAGTTACTATAGTGCTATAGTAGATCACAATACAAAGTCATATGTAGTCTAATGATATAGATTTAAAATTATTAATTAAGCATAGAAGAAAAATATAGAAATCAAAAGTTTGAAAAGGAATGTCTGATGAATTGGCAAATTAGTGTGTAGGACTCCAGAATTCTAAAAGGAACATAAATCTTCAGTGCCTATTAACTGGCAGATGGATTTACTTTCAGAATAGAGGTGTTAGCTACGTTGTGGGTGAATACTGAACTTTAAAAAGATACTGACAGACTTTGGTCTGGCGAATGGGAAACTGATTTGGATCATGAGGCTCTGCCAGTAAACACAATACCTCAAACTTAGTATGCACAAAAATAGAATTAAGAGTTTCCTGTTACGGTTAATGGAATTGCTAGCCTCCCAGTGAGCCAGAATCTAATATTATGAATTGCCTCTTACTCATTTCTTATCCCCGTCACCATTCATTCAGTTTCATTCCACCCTGTCTACTCATACTTTCATTTCTGAATGGGACAGCTAGTCCTCCCTGGATTCACGTTATCTTTTGCCTAAACTCAATAATTTCCTACCTTGTTTCCAAGTCACCAGCCTCTTGATTTTCCAGTTTATCCAGAAGCTACTATCAGTTACCAACCTCCTAAAACATGGGTCAAATTGTATTCTTTCACCACCTCTAAAATAAATTAAGTCCAACTGTCTTAATCATAACAGTCAAGGTTCTATAGCATTCTCACACTCCAAGCTACATTTTCCCCATACCCAATTTTTCAACCATGTCAGACTATTTCTGTTCCCTAAATTAAGCCATGTTCTTTCCTGCCCTTGCTTTAATTCATGTGGTTCCAGCCCCAGTGTCCCAACCCCAACCATGGAAATTCTTTTAATCTTTTTTGGCCCATGCAAATGCTTCCTCCTTTGCAAAGCTCTCAGACTTGAAATAAATTATTCCTTTCTCTGTTCTCTCCTTTAAAAAAATTTTGTTTATTGAATTTAGAAAGAGAAAAAAATACCAATTTGTTATTCCACTATTTATGCATTCACTGTTTGCCTCTTTATGTGCCTTGAACAGAGATCAAACCCAAAACCTTGGCTTATAGGGGCAACACTGCAGCCAACTGAGCTAGGGCCAACACAGCCAGGGCTTTTTCTATTCTCTTATAGCAACAATTTTCAAATGGTGCGCTGCAAGAATTTTTTAAACATGTAATACCTGCCTATTTAGTCAAGGGTACCAACCTCTTTTCTGTCAGATTGTCAATTTAAAAAAAGACAACAGTCAACAATAGCCATTCTATGTGAATGAATCAAAATTATACCCATTTTTTGTCATATTGCCAAAAAGATCATTTATTTTTTGGTGTGCCACAGAATTTCAATAATAACTTTCTTTGTGCCATGAGAAGAAAAAGATTGGAAACCATACTTTCCCTATCTTATGCACTTGTTTTATTCTGCCTTCCACACAAGATTCTAAACTTTGAGTACAAAAGCTCTGCCTTACTCATTTTTATATCCTCCACAGAATCTAGTGTATTACTTCATATACAGTAGTAGCTTAATAAGTCTTTGATTAGTATATAGAAACACAATGAAATTATCTTCCTTACCCTTCTCATTTATTTTCTATTATATTTAAAGTTGTTCCTATAAATAGATTGCATCGAATAATTAATGATTGGCATATAGTTAAATAATGCAAATGCCATCTAGAGAAAACTCATTAAAAAAAGACATATTTGGAGATAATTTTATTATTTGTATTTTACCATATGTTATATTGTGCCCAAATTGTATGAAAAAACACTTCACCGTTTTTTAAATTTTCGATGACTTTATTATTTTAGGTTGAAAATTTCTTCTGCATGGGATCCCCACTGGCAGTTTTTCTGGCATTACGTGGCATTCGCCCAGGAAACTCTGGAAGTCAGGACCATATTTTGCCCAGGGAGATTTGTAACCGGTTACTAAATATTTTTCATCCAACAGATCCAGTGGTGAGTTGCATATATAGATATTTTTCTCCATTAAATTGTCCCTAAAAGAATCTTTAAGAAACCTTGCAAGTTACCACTGAATTAATGAGAGTTCATTTAATGATTTTACTTGCATAGGTTCATCTTTTTAAACATTTGTGTTTTAGATGATAGAAGACTCAGGAAATGAAATACCTTAGGGATGACCTATTTATGTTATACTTATAGTATAAGAGTATCATGTAAAAATAATAATACAAGGGACAGGGACTCTTCTGGACTTTCAAACCATAACCAGTTGCAATACCCATAATCTAGCAATCATAAATTTTGAGAATCTCACTTTAAATACTTTTTCTCTAAAGCATGCATGCCACAATATCAAAATGTGTTTGGTAGATCCTTTTAGAAATGAAAATACTTAAATATTATGTATTAAACATGAAAAAGTAGAAGAGTTCGTTTTAGCCTGGTGGAATTACAAACTTTTGGGATTTTTATATTTTCTCTTATGTTTGTGTTGTACATTTTTAAAAATGTAAACACTCCAAGGATCTTGTATCCAGGCGAACAGTTTAATGCATAATTTTTTAGATGAGAAAAATGCTTCCTTAAGTCCTTTGGGGGGAAAGCTAGATATAACTAAATTTAAAATAAACTATTTTAAGTACCATTCGGACAAATGGCTTTATATAACTGTATAAAAGGTTTTTTTTTAAGATTGTTAGCTAGTGCTTAGGACCACAGTGGGAAGACTTTCACTCTTTCATCCGAACAGAAAGCCTGAAGGCAGAGGCAGATCTCTGGGAGCTCTGAGGCTGTAGCTGACCCTCCCCTGGGCCCAGCAGTGGTAAAAGCTGGTCTTGGTGTACAGCCTGGTTCTTTCTGCACACACCCAGACCCAGGAGAGGGAGCCACATGCTATTGATCTCTGATATCTCCAAACAGGTTGCCCAGAGCTACTCACAAGCCAGGTTTGACAGATCTACCTAATATATAGACACAAACACAAAGAGGCAGCCAAAATGGGAAGACAGAGAAACAGGCTCCAAATGAAAGAACAAGGGAATTCTCCAGAAGAACTGGATGGAATGGAGGCAAGAAATTTTTCTGATAGTTTAGAGTAATGATTATGAGGATACTCAACAGCATGAAAAAAGACATAGAATCCATAAAAAAGGACCAGTCAGAAATAAAGAATGCAATATCCGAAAAAAATAATACACTGGAAGGAATAAACAGTAGATTAGATGAAGCAGAGGATGGAATCAATAATTTGGAAGACAAGATAGAAAAAAAACACCCCATTACAGCAGAAAAAAGAAAAAATAATTTAAAAAAATGAGAATTGCTTAAGAAACCTTTAGGACAATGTGAAGCATAACAACATTCACATCATGGGAATTCCAGAAGGAAAATAGAGTGAGCAAGGGATCGAGAACCTATTTGAAGAAAAAATGACCAAAATTTTTCCTAATCTGGTGCAGGGAAAAGACACACAAGTCCAGGAAGCTCAGAGAGTCCCAAACAGATTGGACTCAAAGAGGCCTATACTAAGACATCATAATCAAAATGGTAAGGCTTAAAGGCCAGGAGAGAATCCTAAAAACCTCAAGACAAAAGCGGATAGTAACATTCAAGGGAGCACCAATTACACTGTCAACAAAAACATTTCAGGACAGAAGGGAGTGGGGTGAAATACTCAAGGTGGTGAAAAGCAAGGTCCTACAACTAAGGCTACTTTTCCCAGCAAGGCTAGCATTTAAAATCAAAGGAGAAATAAGGAGCTTCCCAGACAAGAAAAAGCTAAAGAAGTTTGTTAACACCAAACCAATAATGAAACAAGTGTTTTAAAGGTTTTGCTTTAAAAAGAAGAGCCCTGGCTGGTGTAGCTCAGTGGATTGACCACGGGGCCTGGGAATCAAAGGATCGTGGTGCACTGGCTGGTATAGCTCAGTTGATTGATCATGGACCTGTGAATCAAAGGATCATGGTTCGATTCCCAGCCAGGGCACATGCCTAGGTTGCGGGCCAGTTCCCAGTGGGGAATGCATGAGAGGCAACCACACATTGATGTTTCTCTCCCTCTCTCCTTCCTTTCCCTCAAAAGATAAATAAATAAAACATTAAAAAAAAACCTAAACCCCTAAAAAAAGAAGAAACAGAGAAAGAAAAAAATCAGAGGAAAATAGTTTACCAATAAAATGGCACTAAATACATATCTATCAATAATCACCTTAGATATAAATGGCTTAAATGCTCCAACCAAAAAACAGGGTAGTTGAATGGATAAGAAAAGAAGACCTATACATATGCTGCCTCCAAGAGATCCACCTCAGATCACAAAATACACACAGACTAAAAGTAAAGTGATTGAAAAAGATATTTCACGCGAATAGAAAAACTGGAGTAGCAATACTTATACTCCAACAAAATAGTCTTTAAAAACAACACTATAGTGAGAGACAAAAAAGGATGCTACATAATGAAAAAGGGAACAATCCAAAAAGAGAATATTACCCTAATAAACATTTACATACCCAACATAGGAGCACCGAAATATGTAAAGCAAATCTTGATGGATAAGAAGGGGGCAATTTGACAAATAGAGTCACAGTCAGAGATTTTAATATCCCTTTGACTTCCATAGGCAGATTTTCCTCACAGAAAATCAACAAGGAGACAGCGGGCTTAAATGACACACTAGGTCAAATGGACTTAATCGATGTCTTCAGAACATTTCACCCAAAAGCAGCAGAATATGGGGTCTATCCAGAAAAAGTCCAGCCATTTTAATATAACGAGAACAGTTTGTGCAATATTGATGTAACCTGGAAGCCAAGGAGAGTGGACTGGAATGCACATGTATGAACAATGATGACTTCATTGTACTAATCAGTGGGGGCAGTAGACACCATTGAGTGAGCATGTGTACTGTGTGGCCATTGCATTCAAAATGACTGAGCAAGTAGAGCAACAAATCTGCATCATATTTTGGGTTAAGCTCAAACATTCCTCCATGGAAACTATTTAGATGATTCAGAAGGACGCAGCTATGGGCAACTGGTGATTGGCAGCTTCATCAGGTTAGCATGCTATTCATGCATTATGTCTCGTGCAGTTTTTTGGTGAAACATCGGATCATCCAAGTGATTCAGCCCTGCTACAGCCCAGATTTGGCACCTTGTGACTTCCGACTTTTCCCCAAACTAAAATCACCTTTGAAAGAAAAAGGATTTTAGGCTGTCGATGAGATTCAGGAAAATACAATGGGGCAGCTGATGGCAATTGGGAGAACTGTGTGACGTCCCAAGGTGCCTAACTTTGAAGCGAACCAAGGTGTCATTGTCCTACATACAATGTTTTTTGTATTTTGTATCTTTTATTAATAAATGTGTCTTTTGAATATTATATGGCTGGGTACCTTCTAGATAAATTCCATATACATATTTCTCAAGTGCACATGGAACATTTTTTTAGGACAGGTCACATGTTAGGACACAAGATGAATCTTAATAAATTTAAGAAAATTGAAATTATATCAGGCATCTCTGACTACAATGCTGTGAAACTAGAAGTCAATCATAAGAACACTGAAAATACATAACCAAGATATGGAAGCTAAATACAGTGATCCCTCACCTATCACGGGAGTTACGTTCCAGAGACCCCTGCAATAGGTGAAAATCTGTGAAGTAGTGGTGTTATGTTTATTTTCTTATTTATATATATTTTAAGGCTTTATAAACCCTTCCCATACTCCGATAAACCTTTCCCACTGTCTTACTAACCTTTCCCACACTCTTATAAACACTTCATATGCTCTTAAACACTTTCTGCACTCTTAAACCTACATAATTTTAACAATATATAAAATTCTATATGGCTACTCACCAGTGAAGTATACAGTTGTCCCTCACTATATCGCAGTTCACTTATTGTGGCCTGCAATACAGTGAAGCCACAATAAGTGAACCACAATATAGTAAGGGATGACTGTAACTTGTTATACGAATGGGTCAAAAACAAGATCAAGGAAGAAATCAAAAGATACCTTGAAACAAATGAAAATGAGAACACAACAATCCAAATCTATGAAACACAGGGAAAGCAGTCCTAAGAGGGAAGTTCATAGCATTACAGGCCTATAAAAAAGAAAAACAAGAAAAAACTCAAATAAACAGTCTAACTTCACAATTAAATGAACTAGAAAAAGAACAACAAAGCCCAAAGTGAGTAGAAGCAAGGAAATAACAAAGATCATAGCAGAAATAAATTAAGTAGAGTCTTAAAAAAATGACACAAAAGATCAGTGAATCCAAGAGCTGATTCTTGGAAAAGATAAACAAAATTGACAAACCTTTAACCAGATGCATCAAGCGAAAAAGAGAGAAGACCCACATAAAACCAGAAATGAAAGAGGAGAAATAACAACTGACACCAAAGAAATACAAAGAACTATAAAAAAATATTATGGACAACTGTATGCCAACAAGCTGGACAACCTGGATGAAATGGGTAGGTTCCTAGAAACATACAATTTTCCAAAACTAAATCAGGAAGAATCAGAGCATCTGAATGAACAGATTACACCTAATGCAATTGAGGCAGTAATCAAAACGCTTCCAACAAACAAAAGCTGGTGGACTGGATGGCTTCACAGGTGAATTTTACCAAATATTCCGAGAAGAACTAACATGTATCCTTCTCAAACTATTTCAAAAAATTCAAGAGGATGGAAGCTTCCCAAACTCATTTTATGAGGCTAGTCCTATCCTAATTTCAAACCCAGCTAAGGATACTACTAAAAAAGAAATTGTAGACCAAAATACCTGAAGAACATAGTTGTTAAAATACTCAACAAAATAATAGCCAACCAAATATAGCAATGTATCAAAAAGATCATACACCATGATCAAGTGGGATTTATTGTGGGAATGCAAGGTTGGTATAACATTCACAAATCAGTAAATGTTATTCACCATGTAAACAAAATAAAGGATAAAAACTACATGATCATATCAGTAGATGCAGAAAAAGCACTTCATAAGTCTTATCTGTATGATGCAGATGATAATATTTACCTCATAGGGTTGTTAGGATATAGAGGGTCTGGCACAAATAAGGCCCCCCCTTTTTTATAATATATTTTATTGATTATGGCATTACAATTGTCCCATTCCCCCCCTTCATTCCCCTCCACCCTCCCTCCCACCCACATTCCCCCCCTTTAGTTCATGTCCATGTGTCACAAGTTCTTTAGCTTCTACATTTCCCACACTACTCTTGTCCTCCCTCTGTCTATTTTCTCCCCACTGTCTATAATTATTCTCTGTATCTTTTCTCCGCCTCTCCTCCTCCCACTCCCCTGTTGCTAACCCTCCATCTAATCTCCATTTCTGTGGCTCCGCTCTTGATCTAGCTGTCTGCTTAATTTGCTTTTGTTTTAGGTGTGGTTGTTAATAACTGTGAGTTTGCTGTCCTTTCACTTCATATTTTTTATTTTCTTAGATAAGTCCCTTTAACATTTCATATAATAAGGACTTGGAGATGATGAACTCCTTGAACTTGACCTTACCGAGAAGCACTTTATCTGGCCTTTCATGACTTGGAACACTTCTTTCTATTCCCTTGCCTGTAAGGTGTCTTTTGAGAAATCCATTGACAGTTTGATGGGAACTCCTTTGTAGGTGACTGTCCCCTTATCTCTTGCTGCTTCTAGGATTCTCTCCTTCATTTTAATCTTGGCTAACGTAATTATGATGTGCCTCAGTGTGTTTCTCCTTGGGTCCAACTTCTTTGGGACTCTCTGAACTTCCTGGACTTCCCGAAAGTCTATTTCTTTTGCCAGATTGGGGAAGTTCTTCTTTATTATTTGTTCAAATAACTTTCCCACTCGTGGCTGTTCCTCTTCCCCTTCTGGTACCCCAATAATTTGGATGTTGGAATGTTTAAAGATGTCCTGGAGGTTCCTAAGCCTCTCCTCATTTTTTTTTTGAATTCTTGATTCTTCATTCTTTTCTGTTTGGTTGTTTCTTTCTCCTTCTGGTCCACTCCATTGATTTGAGTCCCAGTTTTGTTTCCATCACCATTGGGTCCCTGTGCATTTTCCTTCCTTTCACTTAGCATAGTCTTCATTTTTTCATCTAATTTGTGACCAAAATCAACCAGTTCTGTGAGCATCCTGATCACCAGTGTTTTGAACTGTGCATCTGATAGGTTGGCTATCTCTTGGTTGCTTAAAAGTATTGGCTCTGGGGCTTTGATTTGTTCTTCTGTTTGAGCCATAATTTTTGGGCAGAGCCTTAGGTGTTCACCAGGGCAGGTCAACCCAGTCAGTGGCTGGGTTGTGACTCTATGTGGGGGCGGGGTCAGAGAGGGAACAATGGTGCTTGTTTTGCTGTCTCTCAAATTTCAGTCCCTTCTGCCACTTCCCACAAGCAAACTGGGCCCTGCTGGTTCTCGGGTGGGTGTGCTTGTGTACGTTCTAGGACCCTGTGGATCTCTCCAATGAAGTTTCCTGTGAGGCTGGGAGTCTCTGCTGGCACCTTTTTAATCAGTGCTTTTAGGCTTTATTTTCTGGCCCTGGGGCCCTGGGTTGCATGGTCTGTCTCACTGCCCGTTTTTGCCTAGTTTATCTGTACGCAAATGTGGGACTTTGGTCAGCCCCGAGCTGCCTGCGCTCTCAGGTCTGGCAGCCACCACCTTTTTCTGCCGGCCTCTCTACACCAGCCGCCGACTCTGCCCCTCTTACCAATCTGGTTGAATGGTTGCTGAACTTCCATACAGTTCAATTTTCTGTCTGTTCTGTTTGTATTTTTGTTTCTAAATCTTTGTTGTCCTTAATTTTGGTTGTGCAAGGAGGCACAGTGTTTCCACCTACACCTCCATCTTGGCCAGAGATCAATGTCCCCCCTTTTTTAAAGACTTTATTTCTAAAGAGAGGGGAAGGGAGGGAGATAAACATCAATGTGTGGTTGCCTCACACATGCCCCCAACTGGGGACCTCACCCACAACCCAGGCACATGCTCTGATTGGGAATCGAACTGGCAACCTTTGGTTCACAGGCCAGCACTCAATCCACTGAGCCATACCAGCCAGGTCCCCCTTTTTATTACATTAAAATCTTACGTTACAATATACTAAGCGTGTAATTCTGTAACAAAACAATATTACACTCAAGCACACCACATGGCATTCTAGGTAAAATGTTCCATTTGCTGTCCATCTCGTGCGAGACTTTCCACATCCCCTACCAACCACACTCAATGACATTACTTCTGCCTGGCCCTGAATATGTGAAAACATGTAGCTAGATATTCAGTATTTCATTAATATGCACTAATCTAGCTCATTTGTTTTATAACTTGAACGTGGACTCTGGGCTTTTGGTGTCCTTTGTATAATGTTAAACTTTGTTGAATTATAAAGGAGGGTTGTAATCTGGTTAATATTTTTATTACTCCTTTTATAGTTTTCCTGCAATATTTTAAGTAATGTTTTTTTAATATTTATGTCAAAACTGTGCTAGGTAGTTTTTACAAATAGTATCTGTTCTCTCCAACATACTTGAGAGGAAATGTTACCCCCTTTCCTACAGCTCAGGAAACTAAGGCTCTAAGACTCTGTGACTTGGTGTCACAGGTCATGAGTGACAGAGGCGGAATATGAACTCAGGGAACTCTGGTGCCAAATCCATGGCCATTTCCGCTGTGCCATTTCTGTTGTACCATTTCCACTTCACATTAGACAAATAATATCTGCATCTAATTTGTGTGTTATTATGTTAGTCTGTTTGAAAATAGTTTTCTAAGATCTCCTAAGATATTAAGAATTGATCTTATTTCCTGTGTTTCTGTTTACTCTTTATAGCTTCAGCTTTGTTTGTGAGACTAATATAAATCTGTTAATGATATGAGAACATAATAAAAAAATTTATTTCTCTGAAAGATTAATTAATGGGTACTATTAACATAGACTAACTCTAATTGTTTTTTTTCGTAGTTCCATCATTAAGGAACTGTTGGACCAGTTACATATTAGTAAGAGTAGACAAATAAGAATACATGTTAGAAATAACAGGTTTTTAAAATTTTCATAAGGTCTGTTGAGCATGTACTAGAATGAGAATAAACAAAGTTTACTAAAATCTGAGTTGTGTTTCTTAATGTTGTGTTTCTTTGAATTTTTTTTTAATCAAGGCTTATAGATTAGAACCATTAATACTGAAACACTACAGCAACATTTCACCTGTCCAGATCCACTGGTATAATACTTCCAATCCTGTACCTTATGAGCATATGAAGCCAAGCTTTCTCCACCCAACAAAAGAACCTACCTCAGTTTCAGAGAATGAAGGCATTTCAACAATACCAAGCCCTGTGACCTCACCTGTCTTGTCCCGCCGACACTATGGAGAATCTATAACAAATATAGGCAAAGCAAGTATATTAGGTAATTTCTCTTCAGTATTCCTTATCAGTGAATATAAGCACTTTTTTTACAGGCATTAAATTTGGAGTATTTGGAAATATTCTGTGTTACAAACCATCCAACAGTTAATTCCCGTGTTTTAAAATTAACTACCCCTCTCACTGTTCATGGTTGAGGACCAAAGCCCTGGAGTTCTCTGAGTAGATCAGATCCTATAGTTTTACAAAATGAATAATCTGGATGCACAAAAAAAGGTCTGGGGATCAAGTTTCTGATTTTAATCTTGGGAAATCTTTCACAAGTCATAGATTTAAATGCATCATCTGTGAAATGGGCTACTTGAGTTCTGAGGGCAGCCTTACCAACTAGTTCTCTGATCCATGTCCCAAAAGTCTCTTAAACAGTATTCTTCCTGAGGCAACAAGGATATTTAATTTGCCTCCGAATGATCTCCAGTGCCAGCCACAATGTTTGGGGTAGGGCTGGAGGTTAGATGCCAGCTGAATTTGTCCGTTGCTCTTACTTACAAGTTGCCTTAATATAAAATGCCACAAGATGGCACTATAAGTAGGCTTTACCTGCTGGTTTAATTTGTTTCACTTTGTCGTACAGATTGCTTATTGACAGTTTTTTATAACATACCACTTCACTTCAGTATCGAGTGTATAAATAATAAATATATGCCCATGTCAATGGCATGGTTTTTAAAGATTTTAATCTTACTAAATATTTTAACACATAATGGCCACTTAAATAAAACGGGATCTTTGTTCCATTTTAAGCTATATTCCTAGAGCTTATACACTCTCATTCTGTTTAATACCATTTTTATTTTTAAACCTACAATATAATTGTGATTTTTATTAAACGTTCCACCCTGGAAAAACATGGCCAGGGCTTGGTCCCTCTGCCAATTGGCTGTAATTATGGGTGGTGCTCTTTAGCTTGGTATGTGGTGTAATTCAACAGAATGACTGCCCTGTTTTCTGAAATGCAGGGGCTGCTAGCATTGGAAAGGGACTTGGAGGAATGCTGTTCTCAAGATTTGGACGTTCATCTACATCACAGTCATCTGAGACATCAAAAGACTCAGTAGAAGATGAAAAGAAGCCAGTTGCCTCGCCTTCTACGACCACAGTGGCAACACAGACCCTTCCACATAGCAGTTCTGGCTTTCTTGATTCTGCATGTTAGTTCATACTGTTCTTTCCTTAAGTTTAAATACTGTATCTTTTTTAAAATTGAAGAGAGCAGAGAGATTGAGATATTAACATTAGTAGTCAACTCTAAAATCTAAAGCTTTTAAATTAAAAATGTACTTTTGCTGCTTACATTTTTAAGACTAATTCCAGGTAAGTGGCAGTTTCACTGTCTGCGTTGGTGGATTAATAACAACCAGGACCTTGTGGCCCAGGGGTCCTAAGTGTGGAGCATAAAGCAAATCTCTTTGAGATAAGCACCCCCTGGTTCTTATAAAGTAGATTTTCAAAAATACGGTCTCTTTGGCCTTAAAAATTAATGTAGTTGCATCAAACCTATGCCATATCTACTCTTGATACTTTTTTAAAACTGCTACACCAAAGCTATCTGCTACTAATCCCTCTGTTTCTTTTATCCAGCCTAATTATAAAACCTTCAATGCTTCCAGTAGTATTGGATCCACTATATGGCCTTCCATTCTCTCCCAGCTACCTAGCATAAAGTCAGGTACTCAAGAAATGAGTGAAGGACTTGGCATTAGAATGGAGTTATCTTTATTTTCTCTAGGAGACTTACAGGGTTTAAAATTTTGAATTATTGTGAAACACTAACACACTTAGTATATTAACTTCCAAGGGTCTAATCTTGACCCTCACTTTTAAGTGTCCAGTAAAATAGGACTAAAAAGTCAAGACCAGTTATTCCACTAAATTATTTAGGGAAATGTAGATTTTTTAAATTTTATTTATTTACTTATTTATTTTTAGAGAGAAGGGAAGGAATGGAGAGAGGGAAAGAAACATGAATGTGTGGTTGCCTTTCATGTACCCCCTACTGGGGACCTGGCCTGCAACCCAGGCATGTGCCCTGACTGGGAATCGAACCTGCAACCCTTTGCTTCACAGGCCAGTGCTCAATCCACTGAGCTACACCAGCCAGGGTATAAATGTAGATTCTGAAACAGGCTACTCTTTTCTGTAACTATAGGAAAAGGAAAAGTTTTCTTTCTCTAAAAAATTTTTAAGCATCATATTTTAGATACTTAAAGTCTTGTTCTGTGCCTGCTACTCTAAATTTTAAAGTGAAATCATTGCCATCCATAAAACTTACTTTAAAAAGAAGTTCAGTTGTGACAATCCTGGAGGCTGGATCTTTCCACAGTCACCCCCACCCCGGGGTGAGTTACCCTGGGCCTACCGGAGTTGGACATTCCTGTTTAGGCCAGTAGCATTGTTTTAACTTAATCTTTGTTGGAATGAATACTGAACACTTTATAATTGCAAGCCTTTTGAACACTGCCTAGAAAATTCATTTGTGACTTTGATATTTACAAATTTCATATTTTCATTTTCTTATAAGAGTTCCTATACTGTCACTAACTTAAGCTCTCAATTCTACTTAATATCAGGATTGTGGTTGTGAAAATACAAAATCTTGCTATAACATGCAGATCTCAAAAGAAAACTAAACTTGTGAGGAAAAATAATTGTAAGAATTTTGTAAGATGGTAGGTAAAAAGTCACGATTCCTTAATGAACAGCAAAGATGTCAGTAAATAGTGGGAGTGAAGGCGGGAACAAAAGAGCAGGGCAGGTTTCCCGAGAGAAAGGGTAACGAAGACATGGAGAAGGAGCTGAGGGAGCAAGACTGTTTTTAGTGAGTTTCAGTTCATTTTGTTTTGTTTTCCTATTTAACATAGTAATTTCAAAATGATGGTAGAGAACCCTGTTCTTTCAGGACAACAGAGAGTAGAGATGCTTAGCTGTATTGCATCATTATATTTTGATAGCTTAACAAAATGAGTTTTCCGTCATTCTTACATATAAATTCTTTGTTGGTCCAAATGGTAAACTCCTTGTCAACTGTACACTCAACTAAATCTGAGCTCATCGTGAATCTTCATTATATATATTCATCTCTAGATACAGATGTAACTATTAAAATTAGGCAACTACTACTACAGTAGAATTCTGCCTTTTAAATGGAATCTTCAAGATTTGCCTTACTAATTCTTTGATTTGCTTCAATGATATACTCTTCTGTGTAAACCTGATTTAGACTAATTTCTTAAGTCTTAATTGCTATTTTGGCTATATCTTACAAATCATAAAACTTCCTTAAGTCTTCTTTTTGGAATTTGGTCTTTGTGATTAGGTAATTCTGGCTTCTTTCTGCTCGCCTTGATTGCCTCACTTTTTCTCCATAACCTTTATTCTGAAGCTGCCAACTTTGATTCTGTCTTTGAGGATAAAATGGATGCAGACTTTGAATTCATGATTAATCAGGGTTTCTGTCTTTGAAGACTAAGTGCTGTCAGTTGTCATCAGGTTGATGGCACTCACTATTCTTCATTTCTTTTGAAGAAGTCTAGGCTTATTTCCAGTGACTTTACTATTCCATTTCTTATGCTCCCTGATGTTTGTCACATATTAAGAGGAAAGATCTGACTCTTTTAGCATAGTTTTTGCCTCTAGGTTAGAACTTAAATAAACTATATGCTTGGGGGATATCTAGGTGTTAACAGATTATGACATTGTATTTTCAAAATTAATTATGCTTACATTTTCCATGAAAGAACTCTTCACAGAAAACAATGTGTGTCCTTCTTTATGTATGCTAGGGTTAATCAGCTTATTTGGGAGTATTGTTCTAACTTTGGCCACTGCATCATTGAAGGCCATTTGTAACTATCAGCTAACACTTTACAGCATCTTGTGTTTTTTTTTTCACAGATTTCATACTTCAGGAGTCGTTCTTTAATCTCCCACAACTTCTTTTTCCGGAAAATGTAATGCAGAATAAAGATAATAGCCTCGGTATGGTATATGTCAGGAATAGCATTCAGAATACTATGAAAATGATCTACTAAGAGAGTTCTTCTGCTCATTAAAAAAAAATGGATCAATTCTTTGGAGAAATCAGCCTGTAGATTACTTCATATATACTTTCTTTCTGTATTTTCTATACTTAAATGGTAGTGATCCTGAAACCCAACTGTTGATCAGTGTGTAATGTGCTAAAATATATGATATTCCTTTATACTCCTACAAAGAAGGAACCTTTTAGAGAGGAGAGAAAAGCATGAGTCATTTTTTTCTTCCCTATTGTGCTAAAGGCTTTGAAGAACATTCACTGTACTTCTCATGTACTACACTAGATATAAAGGTTTTCATAGTTAAGGATTTAATCATTCCTAGTTTTTTTCAGATATCAGTAACACTACCACTTAGGGCTTTTAGGTATGTCATCTGGTTTCAGTGCAAATATTTAATATTCTCTAGAAGGGTGGGTTTGTGTTAAAAATTAGAATTATTGGATGTAAGAGATTTTCAGTGTCTTAATTTTCAGCACATTCTACACATCACAAAGGATTAATCTTTGCACATCAAATTATTTTCATTAATTAACTTCTCTTTTTTTCCCATAAATCCTTTCTCTATTTTTTTAAAAACAGTGGATTTTATCTTCAACCAAAGATATGTTACAGGTTTTTCTTTGGATATTTTAACCATATCTAATTATATAATATCTGTATTGCAAATTTTCATACCTTTTTCTTTTTCTTTTGTTTTTCTATTGTTCAGAACAACTCTTGATAAAAGTTTCAAAATAGTGTTCTAGTATAACAAGCTAATTTGGGTTTTTTTTCTCACTAGCCACAGTTTGTGCTGATCTAACTCAGTGAATTCCCCTTAAGAAATGAGCTTATAACAGTGCTCACTCTGGTACCTGCTCATTTAATTTTTAGTTACTTCCATAAAGAAATCAGTTTGTGCTTCTTGCATATTTAGTTGGAGAACAGAAAATTTATTCATTCATTTGTCCTATATTCTAGCAACCTTAGATCCTCCATCTTAAAGCCATACCAACTACCTAAGCCATTACACCACTAATTATAACCATATACCAAACTGATTCACATGGTAACATGTATATGGCTTCTATTTTGTCTTCCCATTTTATTTATTCTACAATTACTCATGAAATTATTACCATTAGCAAAGATACTAAGGTAGTCTCTAGAAAAGATACCAAGATAAAACAGACAAGTACCAACCATAAAGATATTAAATGCTGGTGTGAAAATTAAGTATTTTCCAGAGAGCATATATTCTATAGTGAAGGTAGATAACTATATAAATAATGACAATATGTGGTAGAATGTGATAAGACACATAACAGAGGTACAGGTAAAGGATTCTGTCAGTTCTAAGGAGTGGGGATATGATTTTCCTGGAAAAATCATCAAAGACTTCCTGGAAGTAGGATTTAGACGTGCAGAGATTAAAAACCATTGCAGGGAGAAGAACCAGGATAAGCAAAAGCACAGAGGCAGGAAGCACGGAGCGTGTAAGGAACCAGAAGTTCATTTTCTTGAGAAGTACCAGGCATAAGTGGAAGCAAGTTAGTTCTGAATATGACTGGGAGAGTTTCTTGAACCAAACTGTAGAGGGTCCAAAAAACCTTGCCATCTCCTAGAGGTTTTTGTATTCAAGATTGACCCGTGAAGCCTCTCTGTTTACCCACGTAGCCCATCTGTTGTTACACTTAGGTATTTAAATGTCTTTCAGGAAGATTAGTGTTGAGAAACTTTTTTGACAGAAATTACAACTGATTATAGAGTTTTAGAGTTTTTGGAGAATAAAGGGTAGTTGGAGAATATTCCTAAATGTATTTGGAACTACAGTAGTTCAAAAAATGTAAATATTCTCTGGGTGTCAAATACCTAAGCACATGAAATATATAGTTGCTCTGAGGCAGCATAAAACTAAGGCACAATTTGCTAACAAGAACTCTGAGCATAGTCTTTCTTATTACAGATGAATCTTTGACCAGACATTTGGAAACAGTTTCCTTTTAACTACTTCATTTCTCTTGGTGTCTGCCTGGAGCCAAAAATCATGCAAATATGACCATAATTATTATAAATAAGATAACTTTTAAGATTCATTAAGTTCAAAAAATTTTCTACCTAGAGAAGATGCTTCCTTTAAATAGTAGTAACCTATCCAGTTAGTGCAATTATAATACTAAAGTGCTTTCTTTCTATTCACATGTTATATTTTTAATACCATATCCACGTAGACAAGCTTTATTCACAAGAGAATTCTCTGATAAAAGCACAGTGTGATGACATTCGACCTTCACACGATATACATTGCAGGCCTTTGCTTTGGGAATTAGGGAGGGAAATATGCTCAAATGCATGAATCCCCAGAAAAGAAAATCCATGTTTTAAAGCAGATAAGCAAACTGCTGACTGTTAAAGCCAGCATTTTTTTTCTCATTTTTACTTCTTCTCAGCTGTTCAGGAATCTCATTCTTTTCTTTGTGAATAGAAGAATTCTAGCAGTTAGGCACTCAAGAAGGAGAAAGAAGGACAAAGGGATGGTTTTATATTCTCCTCCTCTTCGACCTAACCCAGTGAGAGAAACTGGGGAAAAACTGCCAACCTACCTATGTGGCGTTAACCCATTCTCTATGTGGTAATCATGAGAAAGGTCTATATAGATTTGGGCCCACTTTGGCCAAGAGCACATCTCACAGCACATACAGGTTGGGGCAAATGTAAATTCACAGTTGTTCATATGGAAAATATTATAATAGTTAATAGTACCGAGAATAAACTCTGTCTTACGTACTCACAACTGGAAACCCACTTTTGCCCCATTCTGTCTAGAATGGTGCTGTCACGTAGAACATCGGTCCCTTGGGAAATCTGTGATCAGTATAAACGGGAGAGAGAAGATGAGATATAGGCCCATCTAGTCCTATCCATTCATCTGCAAAATCAACACAAATGTGAGATTAACCGCGTGGGCAGTCAGAGTGCCTGGGGCAAACTTTTTAAGGAAGGTGAGAGACCAAAGAGTTCATCAGGTACACGCTGGGTACCCAGATGCCATTTTGACAGGGACAAACTAAGATAAATAGGGACAGAGAGGGCCATTTAGTTAGTGACACTTAATAACGTCCCTGTAGGTTATAAGAATAACAATGGCATATAGTAGGCTAATTAAATTAGGCATTTTAGTGTCTAGTTTATGGAAGGCAGTGCTGCACAATAATAATAGCATATTAAGAATAGATTTTAAGTAACTAAAATTAAAGCAAAGCCAAAATAACACTTGTTATAATGAAAAAATCTCTTAAGTTTCAGCCAATGGAGGCCTAGGTAGAAACCCTTTGCTTCCTTGCACAACCATAAGGAAGATAACCAATCTAAAGTCAATAAACAACCAGAAGTGCCAGAAAATCAAACTGCATGGGACTCCAACAACCAAGGAATTAAACAGCCAACCGGACGGGCGAGGTGGCAGACTGTGCAGGCGGGGCTGACTGACGGGAAACTGAGACTCAGCTGACCGGACTCTGGCAGTTGCCACGGTGGGAGAAACTCGCAGTCTCACGTGAGAGTTCGTTTGTCGGAAAGTGGGCTAGAGATGAGGGCAAGCTGCACTGTTCCCTCTCTTGCCGCCCCTGCCCCAAAGGCAGCACTGCAGCACAGCAAGGAGGGTTACCCTGCCCAGGTGAATTCCTAAGGCCCCACTCCCTTACCACTTAACAGGTGCTGGAGACAAAGAAATATGCCCCAATTGAAAGAACAGAGCAAAACTCCAGAAAGAGCTCAGCAGTGAGGAGATAGCCAACCTATCTGATGGAAAATTTAAAGCCCTGGTATTCAAAACACAGAACTAATTGAGCTTGGTCGCAAAATGAAAGATACCCAAAATGAATAAAGCACAATATTCAGGGAGCCAACAGTGACAGGAAGGAAACCAGGGCTCAAATCAATTTGGAACAAAAGGAAGAAATAAACATCCAACTGGAACAGAATGAAGAAACAAGAATTAAAAAAATATGAAGACAGGCTGAGGAATCTCTGGGACAACCTGAAATGTTCCAGTGTCCAAATTATACGGGTACCAGAAGGAGAATAACAACAGCAAGAAACTGAAAACTTATTTGAGCCCTGGCTGGTGTAGCTCAGTGGATTGAGCACGGGCCTGTGAAACAAAGGGTCACTGGTTCAATTCCCAGTCAGGGCACATGCCTGGGTTTCAGGCCAGGTCCCCAGTAGCGGGACACATGAGAAGCAACCACACATTGATGTTTCTCTCCCACTCTTTCTCCTTCCCTTCCCCTCTATCTAAAAAAAAAAAAAGCTTATTTGAACAAATAATGAAAACTTCCCCAATCTGGCAGAGGAAATAGACTTTCAGGAAGCCCAGAGTCCCAAAGAAGTTGGACCCAACAGGAACACACCAAAGTCACATCATCATTAAGTCATTCAAGATTAAAGATAGAGAAAAAAGCAGCAAGAGGAAAGAAAAAGTTACCTACACAGGAGTGCCCATAAGGCTATCAGCTGATTTCTCAAAAGAAACCTTACAGGCAAGAAGGGGCTGGAAACAAGTATTCCAAGTCACGTAAGGCAAGGACCTACATCCGAGGTGACTCTATCCACCAAAGCTATCATTTAGAATGGGAGGGCAGGTAAAGTGCTTCCTAGATAAGGTCAACTTAGAGGAGTTCATCACCAAGCCCTTATAAGAAATGTTAAAGGGACTTATCTAAAAAAAAAGATAAAAAGTATAAACAATAAAATGACAACAAACTCAGAACTATTAACAACCAAATCTAAAAGAAAAACAAAAAGTACGCAAACAACTAGAACAGGAACAGAATCAGAGAAATGGATATCAGATGGAGGGTTTTTAGTGGGGAGGGGCAAGGGAGGAAAAAGTATAAGGAAGAAGAAGCATAATTGGTAGGCAGAAAATAAGGAGAGGCCAAAATGGTATAGGAAACAGAACTCAGCTTACAGGTACAGTCCAGGGACATGAACTAAGGAGGGGAATGCTGTAGGGTTGGGGTGCAGGGAGAGGGAGGTAAAGAAGGAAAAATTGGGAAAACTAATAGTAAAATACAATTTTTAAAAAGAAAACTCAGTTTTACTTTAAAACAACAATTGAGAACTTAAGACCATTAGACTAGTAAAACAATCTCCAGTAGCATTTGAAAGTAAATTCTTAGAAATTTTAATTTTGTAGTCTTCACCAATATATTAATGTGTATGTTTCCCAACTCTTCTGTTTCTCGTTTCTCCTTTTCTCTTTATAACTAACTTCACCTTGACTCTTCCTCATCATGCTTGAGAATTCCTTTTCTCTTTTTTCATCTTCCTGTCTAGTGTGCCAGAATGTACTCACAAATCTAACACAGATGTCCCATGGACTACAGAAGACAGAAGGTTCAGACATTACTTCACAGTCCATGTATGGATTTCAATGATTTCTGACTCAAGGATTAGTTTATCATAGTTTAAATGAGGAAAATAACAATTATAAAAGCCTATGTCACTGTATCTTACAATTGGTTTAATAACCTAATTGGTACCTGAGAATGTACAGCTAGGTCCATGGACATTTCTTGTCAGAAAAGAACTAGAAAAATAACAACTGTATACATGTTTTTAAGTCACCAAATGGGATTGTCAGAAAATATGTGTTTACATATTAGCTAAACATTGATATGAGATTATTCTCTAAAATTGTACAGTTTTCAATGTGCAATTACCAAATTCCCAGTGTAAAACAAAACCCAACTTTTTCTCCAATCTTAGTTTTTGCCCATTTTTTACTTCTCACATCTGCTGGCATTCTGGACAAAGAACAGACTTTGAGTGGCAATGATTTGGGTGTTTTTGTTTTCAGGATGGACCTTTCAAAATACCATATGGCTTACTGACAATTTTAAAGGATTTAGTTCCTGAAGATCAAAATAACGTTTTTTCTAAGTGATTTATCTCTAACGATTTGTTAAAATGTATTGATTGAAATTCTCTTGTAGCCTTGATTTGTTCAGGTGATTTTTCTCTTAGCAGGCATTGCAAGAGAAACATCCTGTGGGTTTTAGAAAAGATTTGATTGCATTCACTGAATTGAGCGCAGCACTGTTAGAAATGAAATCCTTCCTCTCAAGGATCAGCACTCTTCTGCCTAGTGTAACTTTCCCAGCCACAACAGACATTTATTGAGAGACATGTACGTTCCAGGCCCATGTTAGGCCTTGCTGACTGGATAAAATCTAGGCTGCCTTTGAGGAAGTCAGCCAAGTGCAGAGGGAAACACTGTGGAACTGTGTAAAGGTGGTTATCTTATAGCATGTCCTCACAGAGCCAGTTGATGTACAGGGCCTCCCCAACGAAAGGGCCTTTAGTGACCTGTTACATTCCCACAGGCATTACTGCATGAAAGCCTGGCCTGTAATTCTGCAAGAGGTCTGCTTTCCTTATTTTACAAACCAGGCACAAATTTTAAATGGAAAAGCCAGGATTTACCCCAAATATATTCTATGCTACCAAGTGAAATTTTTTGTTTTCTGTATTATTCCATAATGACCTGTGCACACAACGGAAAGGACTCACCAAATAAAATCCCAAGGTTATAAGGCTCTTTTGAGTGTTTTTCCCATATAATTAGAGTGAAAATTCACTTTAAAATATATATACATACCTATCAGGAGAATCCCTTCTATTAACTCAGTTTTTATCCTCAACTTTAGTAAGTCTATGTAGAACCTGTTTTATTGTAATACTCATTTGATTTCTTTCTTCTTTTTTTTTTTTTAGTGGAATTGGATCACAGAATTGATTTTGAACTCAGAGAAGGACTTGTGGAGAGCCGCTATTGGTCAGCTGTCACATCACATACTGCCTATTGGTCGTCTTTGGATGTTGCCCTCTTTCTTTTAACCTTCATGTACAAACATGAGCACGATAATAATGCAGACCCCGATTTAGATCCAATTTGAACTCTCGAAGGACATTCATGGCCCAATACTGATTTTTTTTTCCTGTTAAAATGTATGTGTCAAGATAATAGAGATTTCAGGTTTAAGTATATTTCAGTTTTGTTTAGGGCAAGAAATATTTGAGTTTAAGAGCACTTTATTTTAAAAACAAAACATTTTTTTAGTCCAAAAGAAGCCACTTACAGTTTTCATCATTTTAATTATGAGTCTGACAAAACCCCCTACAGAGAATCAAGCAAGACTTTGAAATAAGGAACGTTTGGGTGACCTGCAAGATTATAAATCACAGTCTAAATTCTCCCAAATATATAGGCATATTAATGGGTTGAATCTAATGTATTAACCAAAATATGTTACAAATCTAAAATGGTCAATATCTAGTATATTTTACACAAAGTGATATCATTGTTTTTGATTTCTATGAAGGCTTTCATTTCCACAATTTCTTTGAAAGAAGAGCATAAGATTTAGGTGTTTGGAATTTAACTTGTTTAGCAAAACTAATGCTAAAGAAACAATATTTGAACTACTGTATTTATAATTTATTACCTCTGACTAATTGCTTTATTTCAATGTATAAAACATTATTTTTTTAATGTTTCTTTTGAACAATTTAAGAACCACATTTAGTGTTAAGACCCTTTTTTTTTCTCCCAGAACTTCACCTTTGTACTCTTCAGATGAATGTATAGACACTGTGGCATACTTTGAGTATTTTTTTTTTCATTAAAAACTTGTAGTTTCACACAAATAACACTAGTTGAATTATTTGAAAAAGTAGAACTTTTTATTATGTCACATGTACCTCAGAGAAAGCTAAAGTTTTCTAAACACAGAACTCCGTAATGAGTACATTTCATTAACTTTATTGGAAAATTTCGTAAACTTCTTTGGAATCAGGAGTATAATGACAATTTTAAGTATATAAACATCTCTGTGCCAAACAACATACATAAAGAGATGACGTGCCGCTAACAGACCTTCCTGTTAGAGTGTTTAAGAACACACGGTGGAGACGTGTGGCACAACACATCAGGATTCCAAGGCATTAGAAGAGTTTTCCTCAGCTGTAGTTATTTCCACAGTGCTTTTCATCTGAGGAGCTCAAAGTGCTATAAATTTAATAACCTCTTTAGTATCTCCTTGAGGTGAGTAAATGAGCGTTATTCTCATGTTAACATGTTAATTCCCTAAGGCACCAAAACTTTTAAAGTGCCTTGAATTACAGAGCAAATCAGAAGAGCTCAGATTGAAGCTAGACCATATACTTTTATATCAATGACTAATAATTTACTTGTTACCTCTTAGTAGTTTGCAAACAATAACAACAAGTTGCAATTCACCATTTGGAGAAGTGACTGGGAAGCCAGTATTTTACTCTGCTTGTCTTACACATTCATAGGTTCTCACACACAAAGGAAAAGTTACCTGGAAGGGATCAGTAGCCATCTCTGCCCCAACCAATCCTCACTTCTGAGTGGCTGCCACTAGGTTCTGCTCAAGGTGCTGTCTTTGCTTATCATGCAAGGATTTTTCTTAGCTTCCCCGTAACCGTCACCATGGGTGCACAGGTGGTCAGCTGCACGTCTCACCTGCTCTGTTCTTATGAGGTAGTGGAATCTGTGGCCGGCTCGTAGGTTTTACTCGGCACCATCAGTCCTCGTCTGTTTTGGCCTCTCGTTGAATTTGCACAACATAGAACACTTCTTTTTAGTGGTCAAAAAAGATTCCAAGGTTCCATGACCAAATGTGTGGCCTAGAAACCCTTGCTATAAAAGGCTTGATGAGATCTTAGCAAAGCTGAAGTAACTCTCTTAAATTTAGAGATTGTTGTGAACTCAGGTCATTTCCCTACCCTGTTCATTTCGTAGGTCGAATTCAGTTCTCAGGAAAATTAAAACTGGCATCTTGTGACTATTCCTAAGCGCACTTGAGCGTATGTTGCTGTGGGTAGGATGACACTCAAATACTTGAGAGCTTTAAGGAATTCATTCCCGACCACTGGAATGCGAAGAGCCCTTGCTACCTGAGAGGGACGTCTGTTACACCTTTTCGTTTGCAATAAGAAGAAAACGACCAGTATGTTCCCGTAGCTACAAGAATATATCTGCTTCCCTTTCTCCGTATTGAGGAAACAAAATCAAATTTAACCACATGCAATTTCAATTCTTAAAAAGAGTAACATTCAAAACCCCCTTTTCAAAGTGAGTGGATTACTGGACAGTTTTGATTTTGGTTCATTACTTCATCAGTAGGGATGGCAGTATTGATTCTATAATCCTCTTGTTTCCATGTGTCTGCATGTTATCATGGAATGTACTTGTATATACTCAAGTAATATACAGAGTATGTGTAATTCTGGCTTGGTTTAGAAGCTAAATCAGTTACTGAGTAACATTTTGCAACTTTATTCCAGCAAGTACTAAATTGGCCAAAAAGTTCTGTTTTTGATACCATTAAAATTCTATTCTCTATTTTGTGTACATGCTATCATGATTCTTCTGAGTACTGGTTAGGTCGCTCAGTTTTAATTCAGTTAGGTTCCCAAGTTCTTTAAACTTAAAATAAGGAAAATGTATTGAATTCAATCTTGCTTCTATTTTACTTTAAAATGAAACTTTGCTGGAGCCTTTTGTTAGTTCATAAATTACTTTCAATAGTAATTATACTTACAATCCACTGTTACTGTGTTTCAGAACATAATTACAAAATGTACTCAGTTTTCCAATAACTACCACTTTATATGTGAGTCAGGCCTTAGGAATCTTAGGTTTTCTTTCTTTCTGTTAAACAGCATTTGTTGGCCTTTGGAAATTCTCAGACTGAACGTGTTCTACAGAAGCCCTCAGGCAGTGACGTGTACACCTTCATCCCCATTCCATTCCTCTCTGTATTTTTGTTGCAGGCCGGAGCTCGCAAGACATTGCGGGCTTCTACAAGGCATTTATTTAACACACCACCTCCCAGCCTTGTGTTCCCCCAAAGAGCAGACAGAGGAAGAGAAAGAGCAGTGCAGTGTCTCAGCCGGTCCTGCCATTCACTCCAGTGGAGCCAGACCAAGCCTAGAGATTTCACTGTGAGGCCTATAGTAGGGAGGAAATAATTGAGTTGCTTCCTTGGTGAGTTTTGCTGGTTAATATTTCTATCTTTTAAGCTACCAATAAGGAATTGGGACCACTGAGAAAACTAATTTGAGTGTATATCTTACTATTGTTTTTTTAAATATATTTTATTGATTATGCCATTACAGTTGTCCCATTCCCCCCCTTATTCCCCTCCACACTGCACACCTCCTTCCCCACCATTCCCCCCCTTTAGTTCATGTCCATGTGTCACAAGTTTTTTAGATTCTACATTTCCCTACTATTCTTGCCCTACCGTCTATGCTACTTATTTTCTACCTACCGTCTATGCTACTTACTTTCTGTACCTTCTCCTCCCACTCCCCTGTTGCTAACCCTTCATGAGATCTCCATTTCTATGGTTCACTCCTGATCTAGCTGTCCTCTTGGTTTGCTTTTGTTTTAGGTGTGGTTGTTAATAACTGTGAGTTTGCTGTCCTTTCACTGTTCATATTTTTTATCTTCTTTTTCTTAGATAAGTCCCTTTAACATTTCATAGAATAAGGGCTTGGTGATGATGAACTCCTTGAATTTGATCTTATCTGAGAAGCACTTTATCCGCCCTTCCATTCTAAATGAAAGCTTTGCTGGATAGAATAATCTTGGTTGTAGGTCTTTGGATTTCATGACTTGGAATACTTCTTTCCAGCCCCTTCTTGCCTGTAAGGTGTCTTTTGAGAAATCAGCTGACAGTCTGATGGGGACTCCTTTGTAGGTGACTGTCCCCTTATCTCTTGCTGCTTCTAGGATTCTCTCCTTCATTTTCATCTTGGCTAATGTAATGATGATGTGCCTTGGTGTGTTCCTTCTTGGGTCCAACTTCCTTGGGACTCTCTGAGCTTCCTGGAATTCCTGGAAGTCTATTTCTTTTGCCAGATTTGGGAAGTTCTCCTTTATTATTTGTTCAAATAAGTTTTCCACTTGTGGTTGTTTTTCTTCCCCTTCTAGTACCCCTGTAATTCGGATGTTGGAACATTTAAAGATGTCCTGGAGGTTCCTAAGTCTCTCCTCATTGTTTTGAATTCTTGTTTCTTCATTCTCTTCTTTTTGGTCATTTTTTTCTTCCTTCCGGTTCACTCCCTTGATTTGAATCCCAGTTTCCTTCCCATCACTATTGGTTTCCTGTGCATTTCCTTTTATTTCAATTAGTTTAGCCTTCATTTGTTCCTCTAATTTGTGACTAAAATCAACCAGTTCTGTGAGCATCCTGATTACCAGTGTTTTGAACTGTGCATCTGTTATGTTGGCTATCTCTTTGTCACTTAGAAGTATGGGCTCTGGGGCTTTGAGCTGCTCTTGTGCTTGAGCCATAATGTTTTGTTCTATTTGCACCTATTATGTATGAGGGGTGGAGCCTTAGGTATTCACCAGAGTGGGGTGACCCAGTCGCAGGGTTATGACTCTGTATGTGGGGATGGGGTCAGAGAGGGGCAATGGCCTTTTTTCCCCTCTCTCTTGGATTTTAGTCCCTTCTGCTACTTCCTGCAAGCAAACCAGGCCCCCCCTGGTGCCGGCTCCCGGGTGCGTGAGCCTGTGCACCCTCCAGGACCCTGTGGGTCTCTTCAACAAACTCTCCGTGACCTGGGAGCTTCTCCTGACGCCTCGACCCAGAAAGTTTCTTCAATTGGTTCTTTCAGGCTTTAACTCCTGGCGCCGGGGACCTAGCCTGTGCAGTCTGTCCTACTGCTTGCTCCTTTACCTGGTTTATCTATGCGCGAATGTGTGACCGAAGTTTGCCAGGCGCCTTGCACCCCCACTGGGTCTGACAGCCGCCACCCCACACCCGGGATCCGCCAACTGCCGCCTGTGCTCCTGGGTCGGTCAGGCCAATCTTTCCAGCCTGACTCCACTCCACCAGCCACTGATTCCACCCCTCTTACCGGTCTGGCTGAATGGTTCGTTGTTGTCAGACTTCCCTACAGTTACATTTTCTGTGTTTCGGTTGAGTTTTTGTTACTAAGACTTTGTTGTTTTTAAACTTGGTTGTGCGAGGAGGCACAATGTTTCCACCTACGCCTGCATCTTGGCTGGAAGTTACTATTGTTTTTGAAAAATCTTTTGTTTGCATGGAAATAGGGTAAAGAAGAAGCGTGATGTTGAAGAAGGGGCAGGGCAGAGCTGAGATGAGGATGTGGCAGTCCTGCACACTGGAGCTAGAACTAGAACTTGACTGAACTCTATGGGTGTGGGCTGGCTGACTTCTGTCCGTACGCTCAAGTCATCACTTCCCTTGCTCTGCTGTCACCCCTGGGCCTCTGCCTCTGCCAGGAATCAGATGGTACTCCGGCTGAGTTTGACACCTTTATGAAATATTTTGGTGGTTAGGTATGGGCAGGACATGTAGTTTCCTAACATTTTATAATAATTTACCTACATGAACTTGCTGTGCCTACAAAGAGCACGCTTGGGCGGAAGTGTCCCCACTGAACGCTTAACTCTGTTACCTCCAGAGTGGATCTAGGGAGCTCCCACACTGTCTCCCAGATTTCTCCTTTGTCTGTCACCTTATGGTTTTTCGTATTAATCAAGGGTGAGAAGGGAGTTGCCAAGGAAATTTCTGTAGTTTAAACCTTAGAGCAGATACAGAATGGCAGGATATACAATTTCATCTCAAAGGTTTCACTTAGTAAACATCAGTGCTATGATGGGAACAGCCTGGGTTGCGTATGTCCTGTTTTATACTTCAGTGGATGTTTGTGATAGTCTTCCCCCAAAATCTTAAACTTTAAGAGTTTGTACAAATTTAGAGGCCATCTAGTCCAACCCTCTTTTAGTTCCACGTGAGCATTTAAGCAGCATGAAGGTCATGAAAAGTAAAGTGAAGGGGCAGTATGTTAGATTCAGCCCAAAGATTCAGTGAAAGACTAAATACACAGCAGGAGAGGGGGAATGGGTGGGGTCTCTAAGGAAAAATGTCAGTAACGATAGAATTCTAGAGCTGGGAGGGAGTTAGAGATCATTTGCCAAAGCATGGGCTGCAGGCGTTAACTAACGTTGTCTCGGAAAATAAGTTTGGGAAATGCCAAATTTAAAAGATTCTTTTATAGAAGGGCTTTGGGAGCCTTTGATAGATACTAAATGCAAAGTGAGTCTGGTGCTGTGGGAGATAAAGGGGAGTTTTCCAAACTGAAACAGACTTTAAAAAAATTAGAATATACGTAAAGATACACTGGTTGCATTTAATCCCCTCATTTTACGGAGATTCATCCCTTCTTGTGATTACTTCATTTGAAAGTGACCGCTCCCACCCTTTAAGATCACAAGGCCGGCCAAAGACAGGGACAGAATTAGAATCGAGTCCCAATCCCCAACTGTGCCTTCCACCTTGCTGCCTACGTCCTTCCCGGGGTAGAGGGGGAACTCCTGAAGGGTAGAAACCGCCTCCTCCCCATCCTTTCCCCCAGCCCTCTTTGTAACCTGATGCTTTAGGTGCTGCAGACTTGGGGCAAGTCCCTCCAGGCTTGAGTTCTAGACAGACTTCCTTTCATGTGTCAGATTCACAATGCTCAGGGGGAAAAAAAGCAAAAGGATGGAAAAAAATTGAAAACAAAATACCCAGGAATCACTTTGTTAGCTTTTCACTCTGGTGACAAACACAAACCTGTTAGGGAAACAAGTTGCATAGTGTAAAATGTTTAATATTCCTTTCATTTCAAAAGTTTATATGTAGCCTTTGATCAATTCATGATAAGCAGGTCCCTTTTCAAACTGTTCCAACCTAGGATAAACTAATAGAAATTTTAAATTTTGAGTACTATACATTTTGGAGACTGGGAGAAAAGGTTCTGCTGCTGCTGCTGCTGGTTTCTGTGTGTGTGAGAGTTCTCTCCAAAAATAGTCTCTTGGCAAATAATTAGCATGGACTTTTCCTCCGCCTTTGTGTCCGAAGAAGGGTGGGAGTGTGCTTAGTATTGTCTGTCACCTTATGGTTTTTCATTTATACTAACAGGGTGCGACTGGCTTCCTCCCCACCCTGCAGTTGTCAGGATGTGTTGGGAAGCTGGGTCTTCTGTTGGAGCAAGACAGAAAACAAGTATATTACTACTTCACCCCTAATACTGTCTCCTGGAAGCACCAGCCATCAGTGAGCACAGTTCATATTTCCCCCGCCTGCACCCACATCCACCTCCATCTCTGCTTGATCTCTGAAAACAGTTGATTCCCCGTGAGCTTTGCACTAGGTGTAACCATCTTCTGGTTCTGAGGCTGTCATCAAACAAACTGCCAGGAAGAGTCTGGGGAGTTTTGTGCTGTTTTGCTCTTCGGTACGTTTCTCAGAAGCAGCTAGCACTGTTACTGTCCTGAGACCCACAAGAGGTTTTCTGTTTTCAGCCTCTAGGACCTCCTTAGGTTCTAATAGTAGTACTGTGTGCTGTCAGCGGCTGCGGTGACAGTGGAGAAAGTGCCTTTTTCTTTTTCCTTTGTTGCCTTTTGTTTTCAATAGTCAAGGCAAGTTAATTTTCTCACAATCTTCAATTTTACTGAGGGATTTATTATATCTGCAGTGATCCATTTGGATAGGAAAAGAAACATTCATTTTAGAATTGTCCAGTTTTTATACTTCTCCTTTGGAAGTATATACATGCACACTGAGTAATTTTAAGGCAATGAGAAGTAAATGTAGTTTTCTGGATTACACTGTGTTTCTCTAGCTGAATTGACTCATTTATTATCCCATTCACAAAAAATGATCGTGCCCCTATAGTACACAGTCTCAAAAGAATAGGCTGTTCTAAGCATTCTTAGGAACATAATCCTCCTGATCCTGCAGTTGATGGCAGCCCTCCCCCAAACTCATGAACAATCCAAGATGTTAAATCTACCCATTTGCGCTCTGTGGCCACCACACCACCTCCTTAGGAGGGTGGGCAGCCACGGGAGTGCACTGGCTCCCTCGGGACCACCAGAGGATAAAGTGCACGGACAGGAAAAGGTAGGTGTTCCTGTTTAAAGAGTATAATCCGTTCACGGCTTCTCAGTCCAGGGTTCAAAAGCTGACCTTAGTTCTCGGGCTAATATGAATATGGGCTAACTAACTAGTAAAAAATCAAGCCCAAGAACCAGTGCAGATGGAGGCTTCTACATTTTCACCTAACTTCTTACTCCCCCACCCTTTAGTTGATGCCATACTGACTGAAAAGGGGTTTTTTTAGATGTGTATTGTAAGAATCCAAGAACCTTGCTGCTAGACAAAAGTCATTCCCTAAAATGTATTAGATTGGGAAATGCATGGCCGAGATGTTGGGACTACATGCAGAATTGAGGTGAGCCAGTGTGTGGATGGGAGAAAGTACTGGCAAACATGAGGAAGGCCGGAGACTTGGTGCCTGATGGTCGTGGTCTGACAGTGTAGACATTTCAGAAAAGTTGGCCCAGAAGCTGCTTCTGAGAAAGGGGAATAGAGTGACACCGGTCTGGTCCCAGCATCCCTTCCATCGAAGCCCTTTGAAAGCTGCATTTATCCCTGTAGGTTCCCCACAACCTAGTTCAGTCTGAGTCCTGCCTAATCTGCCACTATCTTCAGTAAAATTTCTGTCAGAGCAACTGCCTGCTATTCACCTGAGAATAAACTGCATGCATTTTAGTTACCGTGGTGGTCGCCCGTTGTTTTTGTCTGCCTAACAAATTACTTATTTACTGGCCCCGAAATGCAGATAATCTGCAATGGCTATTAAGTATAATCTGGTGGCACATGGCGTCATGTGAGCATGGAGCCATCTGTGGCCAAACTCCATCCTCCTGCAACGCAGATGATGTCCGTCTGCTACAGGAGAGAAGGCGGTTCACACCCACGGGCAGGTGAGCGCTCTGGGGAGCTGAACAAACGCCACCCCTGGGCTTCCCGGTTACACTTACTAGTTTAAACTATTTTGAGATGGGTTTCTGTTTCTGGAATCCAGATGAGTTCAAATTAGTAATCACTGGCCAAAAAATAACCTCATGTCCCTGATGGAAGTTCTGCCTTTGAGGGCAGTGCCTTATAAAGCCTTCAATCCTCTCAAAATTAGTAAATGCTTGTGAGCCCCTGTCCTAGTCCATTCATGTAACCCATTTCGCTGTAGCAAAAAGAAGCAAACCGGGTGGCTTGCAAACATTTCTCTCAGTTCTGGGGGCTGGGAAGTCCAAGGTCATGGCACCAGCAGATTAGGTGTCTGGGGAGAGCCCCCGTCTCACTACCGGCTGTCTTCTTACTGCAACCTCATGTGGCAGAAGGCACAAGGGGTCTCTATGGGGTCCCTTTTATAAGGATGCTACTCCCATTCATGAGGGCTGTACCTTCATGACCTAATCACCTCCAACTGTGTCATTGGGAATTAGGTCTCAACATCTGAATTTGGGGAGATCTATTCAGTTCACAACACCACCATTAACAATGTTACCTTGATAGTTGCACTGGATTCATTTTGCCTTGATTGGGGCTTGATTACAGGTCTTTGGACTGACTCACTGGCAAATTCTTTAAAGGTAAGGAGCATACCTTCATTATCATTGGACCTTCCCCAGAGCATCACATCATAGGTGCATAAAGTTACTGAATTACATACATCTGGACTAGCACTACAATGCTAGGTGCTAGAAATGGTCACGAATTTAAAAAATATAAAAATCCTTGCTTTTGTGCTCACTTCGGCAACACATACACTAAGACTGGAACGATACAGAGGAGATTAGCATGGCCCCTGTGCAAGGAGGACACACAGGTTCGTGAAGTGTTGTATTTTTTCTTAATCTTGGGCAAAGACTTGACACACCCCAGGCCTACCTCCTCATCTTTTAAATGGGGTGATTAAGGTAGCCTGGTGCTGGAACAGAATAAACTCTCAATAAATGGAAGTTGCTAGTGGAACCCCCCCCCCAAAAAATTATTGCTTTTCATGGAGTTTTCATTTCAGTAGGAAAACTATGTGTTCAAAATTCATGGAAATTGCTAAGTTGGGAGAAGCCTTGAGAAAAGACAAACTCTACCTGGAACCAGACAAAAGGGACCTTATTTTTTCACAACCAAAGAAAGCAAAATTAAAATAGCTCTTAGGATGCAACAGAAGAATGTGAAGTATATGTCAGGGTGAACTTGGAGAAAGGACTTAGATGTACTAGACTGAGTGTTGTATCTGTACCAAATGAAAATGCCTAACTAGGTAATTACAGGCACTCCCCAGCGTGTGCCCTATAGTAACCCAGATGCAGCTTCCCAAAGTATTTCCTTCTTGCCATGTGCTGTTTCCTAAATGTAACCAGGCATTTCACATCTCTGCCTTTGCACTTGCTGTCCCCTCACCCCGGAATTTGCTTCATTTCCTTCACCCCCATTTATTGACCTTTACTTTTTTCTTAATATATTTTGTTGATTATGCCATTACAGTTGTCCCATTTCCCCCCTTCATTCCCCTCCACCATGCACACCCCTCCCCCGCAATTCCCCCCTTTAGTTTATGTCCATGTGTCACTAGTTTTTTAGATTCTATATTTCCCATACTATTCTTGCCCTCCCCCTATCTTCTACCTACCATCTATGCTACTTATTCTCTGTACCTTCTCCCCACCTCTCATCCTGCCACTCCTCTGTTGCTAACTCTCCATGTGATCTTCATTTCTTTGATTCCTCTCCTGATCTAGCTGTCCTCTTAGTTTGCTTTTGTTTTAGGTGTGGTTCTTAATAACTGTGAGTTTGCTGTCTTTTCACTGTTCATATTTTTTATCTTCTTTTTTTTAGATAAGTCCCTTTAATATGTCATATAATAAAGGCTTGGTGATGATGAACTCCTTGAACTTAACCTTATCTGAGAAGCACTTTATCTGCCCTTCCATTCTAAATGAAAGCTTTGCTGGATAGAGCTTTTTCTTGGATGTAGTTCTTGGGATTTCATGACCTGGAATATCTCTTTCTAGCCCCTTCTTGCCTGCAAAGTGTTTTTAGAGAAATCAGCTGACAGTGTGATGGAAACTCCTTTGTAGGTGACTGTCCCCTTATCTCTTGCTGCTTCTAGGATTCTCTCCTTCATTTTCATCTTGGCTAATGTAATGATGATGTGCCTTGGTGTGTTTCTTCTTTGGTCCAACTTCTTTGGGACTCTCTGAGCTTCCTGGATTTCCTAGAAGTTTATTGTCTTTTCCAGATTGGGGAAGTTCTCCTTTATTATTTGTTCAAATAAGTTTTCCACTTGTGGTTGTTTCTCTTCCCCTTCTGGTACCCCTATAATTCGGATGTTGGAGCGTTTAAAGATGTCCTGGAGGTTCCTTAGCCTTGCCTCATTGTTTTGAATTCTTGTTTCTTCATTCTTTTCTTTTTGGTCATTTTTTTCTTCCTTCTGGTGCACTCCCTTGATCTGAGTCTCAGTTTCCTTCCCATCACTATTGGTTTCCTGTGCATTTCCCTTCATTTCAATTAGCTTAGCCTTCATATGTTCCTCTAATTTGTGACTAAAATCAACCAGTTCTGTGAGCATCCTGATCACCAGTGTTTTGAACGGTGCATCTGTTATGTTGGCTATCTCTTTGTCACTTAGAAGTATTGGCTCTGGGGCTTTGAGCTGCTCTTGTGCTTGAGCCATAATGTTTTGTTCTATTTGCACCTGTTATATATGAGGGGCGGAGCCTTAGGTGTTCGCCAGGGTGGGGTGACCCAGTCACTGGGTTGTGACTCTGTATGTGGGGGTGGGGTCAGATAGGGGCAATGGCGTTTGTTCTCTCTCTCGGATTTCAGTCCCCTCTGCTGCTTCCCGCAAGCAAATTGGGCCCTTCTGGTGCTAGTTCCTGGTTGTGTGGGTTTGTGCACCCTGCAGAACCCTGTGGGTCTCTCAAGCCAACTCTCTGTGAGCCTGGGAGCCTCTCCCGGCACCTCGATCTCCGAAAGTTTTTCCATTTGGTTCTTTTAGGCTTTAATTCCCATCACTGGGGCCCTGGTTTGTGCGGTCTATCTCACTGCTCGCTTCTTTGCCTGGTTTATCTGCATGTGAATGTGTGACTGCAATCAGCCAGCCACCCTACACCTGGGATCTGCCAACTGCCGCCTGTGCACCTAAGTTGGTCCAGCCGCTTTTTCCCACTGGGACCCTGCTCTGCCAGCTGCTGACTCCGCCCCTCTTACCAGTCTGGCTGAAGGGTTTGTTGTTGTCGGACTTCCATACAGTTCAATTTTTTGTCTGTTTTGGTTGCATTTGTGTTACTAAGACTTTGTTGTCTTTAAACTTGGTTGTGGGAGGAGGCCCGGTGTTTCCGTCTACACCTCCATCTTGGCCGGAAGTGACTGACCTTTTACCTTGAAGTAAGTAATCGCAGCATTCACAATTGGTGAGCTGGGATCGAGGGAATCCCCAGTGCTTTTCCAAGTCCTTTCAACTTGCAGACTATTTTCTCTGTATACTGGACAGTAATTTATGATGTGCCCTCTCTGCAACTGAAACATAATGGGAAGACACAAAGAGATGGGGTTTGTGGGAAGTGTTAGTTGGCCAATTAATTTGCCTTTGAGAGAGAGACTACGTTTTGTTCTGTTTATAAAGAAGGGAATGTATTCTAAGTTCCAAATAGCCATTAACTTGGGGTCCACAAACTTTTTGAAGGCTGAGATCACCAATTTGTAGCTATATATAAATGGACCCCAAGATCAGTCCTTAGAGAAAACTTTTGCCTTTGATGGTTGACCACATGTACTAAAAACTCGTGGGGGAAGAATACCACGGCACAGGCACTAGTCTGGGAGTCGGCACTCACACGGGTAGTGTGAGTGGAAAGTTACCTAGGCAACGGGAACAATAGGCATCTTGTTTGGGGACTGTTTGAGCCCGCTCCTCAGAGTATTATCAAGTTGAAGGACATATGTTTCTGACACCATGGTTCCTGGGAATTTTTCTCAACAAGCTATATGGTTGTAAAGATTTGCCAGTACCACCTGTTTCAAAAGTTTCTCTGCTTATTTTTCCTTCCTCCACTAAAAAGATGTAAGGAGATATATGGATGGAAGCTTACTAGCTTGCCAAGTTGATTAAATCTTCAATTATGGCTTTTATTAAAATCATTGTTAACATTTACCAATTTGCTGTCTGTCTGGCGATGCTCTAGGTGCTTTAGATATGTATTTCCTCATTTATTGCGGGAAATATTCTAGTTAAACCTTTTCCAACAAGGTAAGCCAAGCAAGGCACAAGTTCAGGTGAGCAGACCCTGGTCACACAGCTGCAAGGTGATGGTGGGGCAGCTGTGTGGGCCCTTCAACCCGTGCTCTGCTGCCTCCCCCCGCAGTGTGGGGAAGCATTCTAGGTGGGCCTCAGGACCAGATTCCATGTGAAGATCTCTAGGTAGAAGACTGAGAATTGTAATTCAGTCAAAACTGTAGCTGATTCCCCTGCTGGTGGTCTCAGTGCTGGGGAAAACAACCACAGTGCTTGCAAAAACAAGTGTATTTCATGAGAATAAACCCAAGCAATCACATCCTGCTTTGCCTCCTTCAGGGCTCTGGGCGGAATAGCTGGTGCCTTGACAAGTGAGTTGCCCAATGAATGTACTGGTAATCTTATCTGTGTTCTTTTAATACAAAAAACAGCTAAGTATTTGTATCCAGAAGCAAAATAGTCCTGAGAATAGTCAGTCCACATTCTCCAGGTTTAAGGAGGCTGAAAATATCCTGCATCGTAATCTGTCATAATCACCCTGGAACCGCATTATTAATAGTGTGAAGTCTTTTTCCAGAATTCAGACCCTGGAGTCTTTCAGACAGTTGAATTAATGTATACATCATACAGACAGTGGTTGGATTGATGTATACATCATACAGGCGCTCCCATTCTCAGCTGTACAGGGTCCCCAGGGAAATGAAAAATTGTCATCAAGAGAAACTAAAATTCCCTTTAGTTTAAATCATTTTTTACATTTCTCTGAGTGGCTTGTCAGACTCAGGTTTCATTCTGAGATTTGTTGAGTCCTGTGGCCACAGAACATCATAACACTTAAAGCAAATTTTAAGACTCGGGAGCACAGTCAGGTTTGTAAAAAGTATGCCTCGTATGACTTTGTTGAGATAAAACCTTACACGAACCATGAAGTTTGTGTTATTTGTCTAGACCTGAAAATGCCATATGCTTAATTTACTGTAACAATTTGTTCTTGCTACTCATTTTACATCACCTTTCATTAGTTTCTCATGTATAAATAGTTAATATTTATAGCTTAAGGTGTTGCCAGTGTAGCAGGAATAAAAAGCAAGTGATATACGACACTGCCGCCATTCTCTGTTCAGAGAAGGTCTAATTACATGGTTTTGGCAACACTGGCTGCTCCAATGAAGCAGTGAGATCATTGAGTCAAATAACTCTCCTATCACAGCTCATCTTTGTACTTTTATAGCTAGATTTTACAACCTGGTCTCTGCCTTGATAATTAAAGATTTCATTATTCATATGCCTTCATTGCTTAAAACTTGCCCCACATTTTTGGCTTTAGCCTTTGTCCCACTTTTTGGTATGTCACTAAACAGGCTGAGCACTCAGTAAACTATGCTATTCAGATTCTTGCATAACATTCTAGTGTAGAACACAGTGGTCTTTTTGTTGCAGAGAAATCAGCTAAAGAATGTTCTCATTTATATGGTGGTAAAAACCTCAGACGTTACCTGTGTGATACTGCTATACATTTTTTTAAATAAATTTTTACCTAAATAAGCTATTTATTACACATAGCATTGAGGAGAATAATGTTGACTGAAACAAAATTATGAAAACTGTTTTAG